CCGTTGTTGCGGATCGGAAGTTATGGCGCAAGGAACGGAGACGCCGCCAGGCTCGTCCTCGAGAATAGTAGGTGCGGCCAGGCTAGCACGTGCAGAGACAACCTTTACGGCAGGCAAACGAGGCCAGGCTAGATCTGCCTACACTTGTTGCAACTGATAGCTCTACGGCGTGGGAGCACAGAGAGTCAAAGGGTCAGACCATGGTGGTTCGCCCTAGGTCGTGCGCGCGTCTCCTGCCACTCACCCACAACGCCTTTTTACACAGCGTTTCTAGTCTAGGAAAAAGGGAAGGGAGATGATTAAAGAGTTTGACAGGGCCGGTGGTGACCTGTCATGCCTGGAGAATGGTAAATGAAAAAAGGTAGGAGAGAAATGGAAAAATAAGGGAAGGGAGAGAGGGAGGGGACACGGGCCTAATCGTTGTCTCCGTGCATGATCTGCACAAACAGGTGGTACGCTGCTGGCTTAAGTTTTACTTGAGAGGGAAGGGGTGGAGTGAGAGAGTCTGAGAGACATGGAGACTTGGGGGAATGGGAGGGAGGGGGGTCCTCCGGGGATATCAGGAGTTTGCATGGCAATGTAGCTCTCGCTGATGTCCTTTGGGGAGTTGTTGCCTCCACAAATAGCAAAGCAAAGCAAAGCTTGATCTTTTCAAGACCAAGTCCGTAACTAAGGCCTCGACTTAGGTACCCGACCGCTTCTGGCTGGCCCCGGAAGATGAGCGAATGACGAGCCCTGCACCTGCTCGGTGGCGGGCGTTTTCTCTTTCTTTTCTTTTCTTTTCCTTTTGATGTGGCCCTGAAGGCGTCACCCCGGACGGCAAACACTTAAATGGAGGGGGGAGAGGGGGGCTGGCTTGGATGGACCCCTTTCTGTCCAGCTGAGGCCCTGGTCTGTGGAATATTCCATGGCAAGGGGTTTGCCCCATCCTCCACCAAGGAATCTTGGCTAACAGGGTTGGGGTTGGGGTTGAGGTTGGGGTTAGGGGAGTGAATGGGTAAGCTCCATCGGTACTGGCTTGCATACGAAGGTGGGATATCATGCGAAAGGCCAACGGGAGGGGCGAAGAGAAAAAGAACAACAAAACGAGAAGAGGAGAGCGAGAGAGCAAGAGAGAAATGGGGGAAGAGGTAGGTTTCTTCTTGGCCCCCAGATCAATAATGAGTCTCGTAGCCGTCACCACGGCTCAAGTTGGAGTTCAGGTATCCCCTCGCCCCTTCCGACTTTTTCATCATTCATCTATCTCGCTGGTGTGGCCCTGTTTTACCGAGAAAAGCCAAGAGAGCTGAGCATCCAGTGTTCACATACGCTCGACAACCGGGGGAGGGGTCCCATGTTGGCAAGAAAGGGGGCGTCCGCCTATGTTTTGGCATGTCCATCGTTTCTTGTGACACGACTGCCCTCTTACGGACGAAGGCGTGGGTTGCACACCTACTCGCTCTGTTCTCATGGGCACGCCTGTGATCCTCAAGCGTAAGACACAATGACACAAGGCACCCCTCCCAAACCTCATCCGGTTAGGGGTCAGGGTCTGTTGGATGCCTCGAGGATGATGTAGGAGGGGGGAGAGGGGGGATGTAGGGTAGGATAGGGTAGAAGATGGGAGGTATCATTTTGAAGAAACGTCGTGCTGGGTTCGCGCACTCCATCCACCTCTCCTCTCGACATGGGATTGCAAAGCAGCCTGCAGGTTTCTTCTTGTTTTCCACATCTCGTTCTCGATCTCAATGGCCGGGGTTATCTGGAGGGACCCTTTTTTTCAACGCAGCGAGAGTGAATAGGAATGAACGTGGAGAAGGACTGGGGGATAAGGAGGGTGTGGACGTGGATGTTGGGGCCCATATACTCGTTCTGTCCTCTACTTTCTTTTTCCTTTTTATTCTTTTTCATCCCCGTCGCCCTTCCTTTTCAGTTTAATTCACTGATGCGGCTTCCCGCCGTGTATAAAATCCTCATCCAAAAGTATATATAAAAAGAAAAATAAACAACAACAGATAACCAAAAGAAATAGCCACATGGCATAGACATGGGGAAGGGGGAAGGAGGGGCAGGGGCAAGGAAGTCCAGGGTGAGGCCGGAGTTCAATCATCCGGAGGAGGGATAAGATGGGGATGATGGATACACGGGGAGCAGACGAGCGATATGATGAGAGACAGGAGATTGATTAGAAGATGAAGGCAGTGTGAGACCGGGCACGCTTTTAGGAAATCATCGCGAACCCTCTCGGCGTGAGAATCTAGCCAAAGGGCCCGCGGATGGTGCTAGGCCAGATTTTGTAGCGTGGTGGTTCCACAAGGTAAACTGCATCCTCTACATGGGATTGTGTGTCTTGTCTCGATGCCCTCTTGCTGTGGTCCCTCTGCGGGCATATTGTGGGTTTCTCAGCGTTCGACCCGGGGAGGCGTCAAAAGCATTGGTTAGGAGTGAGTGGTACAATCGTGGGGGCGTGTCGTGTATAGGTCGTTCTGGGTGGGGAGTAGGGACAGGAGGAGGGCAAGACGAGAGTGGAGGAGGAGCAGAAGGAGGAAGAGACTGAGACTGAGGCCAAGGCCAAGGCGCAGCAGGATGGAGAGAGAGAGAGAGAGAGAGAAAGATCCATCTCTTTTGTGAGTACGCCAGTGTTCACATCGCCGCTTCTCAGGTCGTACCGATCAGTATAACGAGGTTGAGGATACCGACTGAGGGTCGAATAGAGACGGTCTGTCCTGTCGGCCTCTTGTTTTCTTTTTCTTTTCTTGCCTCGTCCTATCCCTTCATCTTTCCTCCTCTTCCACACCTAAAACTCCGGCTTCCCTTTTCTCGGTGTTCGCATCCCACTACTCGCCTTTCTTTCTTTTCTTTCTTAGGAGGCTTGGGGAATGTAGTCGCATACAACACCAAGGGGCATCTTTTTGCGCTCATACACTTACCTTCTCTCTTACTCGCAACCCGCCTGAATAGCAAAAAGCCTCTAGTGTGTCGACTTACACACCTCTTGGAGAGGACTATCCATATACTCTTACATCGACTTATAGCCTTCTCTTCGCGTGGCTCGTACCCTACTGAGAACACTAAGAAACAGCAGGAGTATCAGCGCTATATCCATCAGGGCGTGTTCGACAAATTCCGACAGCGACTGGCTTGCTCTTCTCTGTTTCCATATCAGATCCGGGATTCCTGCCCATAAAAGAGCCGCGAACACCAAAAGAGCCGTCAAGGACGATAGCCGCCGAGCATCTTCTTCTCGCTCACCGGATAGTCAGGCTCTGAGCCGGCAAAGGTCCGCCACCCTTGAACAGAGTTGGGAAGCTTCGGTCAAGATATCACGCATATATATCTAAGCCTGGCTTAGAAGATAAAAAGTCTAGACCGCAACTTGCGCAGCATCGAGTCTAGGTGCAGCCCGGATCCAAAACCGAAAAGAAGATCAAAGGCAAGGAGGAAGGGAAAAAGAAGAACCAAAACGGAAAAACTCCGAATCTCTATTTACCGGGATCAAAAGAGTACGAATACCATAACAGTCTCTACCTATCTACCAAAAAGGTTGGGGACAGAAAGGTTACCACGAGCGTAGGAAGAAAGTTGCCCTGCATCCGAGCCGCGGACGCCAACATCACGGGAAGCAGCACCTATAGATACACATACACACACGCACACACACACACACGCACACACATATATCCACACACATCCATACACATCCACACGCACACACACATATACATACACACACCACCTTCATACCGACACATATATACACCAAGATTCACATTTACACCTACACATCCCATATCATCTCTTACACCACGTTTCCTTACGCACCTCATTCTCTCTTTCTTAAGCTTCCTCCCACTTTCCTATCTCCATTCCTCTTCGCACACAAGGCCTCGGGCTCCATTCTAACTTCGAGAGAACCGTGTTTTACCATAGCATCTGGCTCTTCACTGACCGCCTATCCCAGGCTTGGCCTTGATCTCTACTTCAAACCGCACTGAATCAACGTGTCGACCCAAGTACCAAGCAAAACCACCATCAAGGAAGTCGCGGTCTCGCCCGAGAACTGTTCCCTGGTCCTTCTTTCCTCCAGTTCTGGGTCCTCTAGCCTTGGAAGGTACGAAGGAAAGAGACATATTGAAGTTTCTGTTCATTCCGCCCGTTCCATCAAACGGAGCCTTTTCCTTCACCAGCTCACTCGCTCCTCGGCTCCCCATATCTCGCCTCACCGCAAAAAACATCGCCGACTGCTTTGTGAATCGGACCGTTTGCAAGGCCAGCAGGGTCTTTTTGCTTCTCTTTCTTTTTCCCTCCTTTGCACTTACACCTCTCCCGGTCTCTCCTTGCGCACTTGCTCTCTTCCAACCAAAACAACAGCTTCATTTTCCCCACTGCCTTGGTCTTCTACACGCCCTTTGTCGGTACCCGTGCTGCATTGGACTGGTCTGTGTCAAGCCCAGCTGCTGTAGACTGGACTCGTGTTCTTTGGCCGGGGAAACGGAAACCGGAACCGCCATCCGCCCGTAGCAAGACAAGCAGGTCCCGGTTTGTTAGATCTGATCTCTCATCCCTAGCCATCTACTTTAACGTCCTTGTCAATTTCTCGGTTTTCATTCCTCTGAGGCCTCTTGTTCACCTTGCCCGCTTCTTTCTTATCGCTTTCCACCGGGGACCAGGCACGGGCGAAGAGGCGATAGACGCAGTTATCCTACGCATTCAGCGGGGCCCCACTTGCAGACACGTTGAACCCCCATACTCTCCCTCCCCGTCGGATACCCGTACCCTTCTCTTCACCCTCTCACCCCCTTCCTTTCCACCCGTTGAATTCCATCTTCCCCTGCCAAGCGACCTCGACGCACGCACCAGATATGACTGGCACCGTCTGCTACCCTAGCGAAAGCAGACGATATAGTCGCGAGTATCCCTTCTTCTTTCCCGAGCGCCGAGTCCACCACCCCTCCCCATCCTCTTCCTCGGCCTCCTCTTCTGCCTCTTCCTTCCATAACCTCCACTTGCGGACCGCCACCATGATGACGACGGAAAGAGATCCCGACTCCGAGAATACGCCGCCGAGGAAGCGTATCGCTGTTGCTGTAAGTGATTTTCGTTGAACGTTTCTACGTCCAACTCTGTCTCTGTCTCTCTCTTCTCTGCTCATTTGCCCGAGCTGCCTTGTTTCCCTTTTTCTACCACTTCCTTTCGGGGGTGTACTTCTTCTCTTCCATCTTCTCCTGCCCCCTTGGGATGATACCGGTCCTTTGTGTTGCGGTGAGACCCGCGCTTGCATATTACACCTAGGGCGCTTGCTCTATTCCGTTCACCCACCTTAACACACACACACACACACATATATAAACCCAAACACGCCTTCCTCCCCTGTATTCATATAATAGCCGCTCCGTATCTACGATGAGTTAAGGAGTCTTAGAGGGGCTCGATAATACTCGTGGATAGAGACACCAATAACGTGTGTCTTGCTTGGGACGGCCCGTCCTACCTAGCCAACCAGCACGTCTGCTAACTATCAATCTTTTTACTTGATCTTAGTGTGGGCGGTGCAGGAAACGAAAGATTCGTTGTAGTGGCGATCCTGGAAATGGTGAGCCTTGCCACAATTGTAAGAATGCAGGTGCAGAGCCCTGCCGATTTCTTCGAGTGAGTAGCCTCTAGCTTTACCTGCGCATCCTCCTGGCCCTCCTTTTGCTCCTCCTCCTTCAAACCCGTCACCATTAGTTGACACAGAGCCCCAATCTCCTCGGGGTTCTCAGGTGTCTTCGACGGAAACAACTTTGAAGCACGAGCCCAGCTTCCCTACAGCTTGGATACCACCCGGGCGTTCCATTCCCGAGGCCCGGCGCCTTCGGCCCTAACCCCAACTATCAGCCATTTTCCCGACACCCTACCCACGCTCACATCTAGTGATATGCTGGGCTCGTATCGGCACGGTTCGGCTTCAGCAGCTGCGTACCCATACCATGCCGCCGCCACAACTACCGCAGGGAAGCAATCGTACTATGGCGCGGTGCCCACGTGGCCCACGCAAGGTTACACCGAGGATAGCGTCGACTACGGATTGCAGTATGGCCAGAGCCACCCATACCTAGCCATCGAGGATGAAGTTCGCATGGTAACTGCCAAGTCACATTCGGCGAATAGGCTAGGCCTAGGAAGCACCAAGTTCGGGGCCAGCACGCACTCAGGCCCGAGTGGAAACATCTACGTCGACGTCGACCCGGGCTATCCTTACACGAATTCACCAGCACTCATGCATCGGCCGCCCATGGGTACCACCCTCGACCTACCTCATTTCTCTTTAGCCGCCATTCCACAGCAGCACCTCCACAGCTCACCAAGCAAGGATAGACTTCTTCCCTCGCCCACGAGAAGTCTCCCAAGTAATGGCATCATGAATTATCGTGGTGACGCAACGACAGACCCGTATCATCACAGTAAAGTCGCTGCGTCGGTGGCATCATCAAGCTCGCATGCGTCTCCAATCAGTGCTCTCTCGGATGCCGTCTCTGGTAGCGGTAGTTATACTCCATTTGAGCAGTCCGCGCTCGCCACGTACCCACCGTCTGCTACCGCTTCGCAGGCATCATCCACGTCATCGGCCTCGTCGAGAGTAGTGGGCACCACGTCCCTCTCTGCGGCCGAGGTGTACTCACATGCGGGTCCGTCATCGTCATCAGCAGCATCATCGTCGCCTTCCTCAGGCGCCGGCGACTCGATATTTTCCACAGCGGAGAACAGTCTGCGGACACCTTCGGGCGGCGGATCTGACCTGGCATACCGATACTCGGATCCCCGGGGGCTGGAAACAGCGACGGATCCTGGCGGTGCTGGAGCATCACATCTGGGTAACGGACACGTTTATGCGGCTCTCCCGGTAACAACAGGGTCGACTGGTGTAGGTTTACCATCCGTCGGGTCAGGGGGCTTCCGTACCTGCTGGCCGGAGGCTCTGGAGGGGAGACGCACCGGCGAGCGGTGGCTGGACTTCATGCAACATAGAGTGAGCAAGGCCATCCTTGCCGCTCTCGATTTCCTTTTCCCTTTCTTTTTCCCCATCGTCGACTTTCATAAGTTCATTTTTTATTTATTTTGTCTTATTTCGTCCTTTTCGCCAGTCCTACTATCTGTGTTCGCATTTCAGGGGATTCAGATGGCGTTACACAAATCGAAAAATCCCAGAATACATGTCTTTGACATGACGATCAGGCGAGAACAAAGCAAGTACTTCGTACTATTGGCCCTTGAAGGGTAACAGAAGAGGCTCCAAGGCGGACAGTATGAGAATTGGAGTGGCTGGCATCTTTGGTCCTGAGGCTTAGAGGCGGCAGTCATCGTCATCTTCGTGTTTCTGCCTCTTCCCCCTCTTCTCCTTTTGGCTGTGGTTCGGCCGTGGCTGATTGCCAGTCTTCAGGGCGTTTTTGCTTCCCACTTCCGTATCCTTCAGCTTCCCATCTACATGCGGCATTTGTGTATTTGTATCACGCTGCCAAGCTCATTTCTCTTCCAAGGGTTCGTTCTCGAGCTGTTCTCCTCGTCTAATGTCTTATCCTTGGTTCTTTCTTTTAATTCCCTGACGCCGCTTCTTTCCAAACCTCACATCTATATCTCCAAAAGTCTCGCATAACTGCCAATCGCCCCCGTCTTTTGCAAGAAAGAAGAAAGAAAAGAATTTGTGGAACTTTGCCCTTCCCTCAATCAGAATGCCTAGAACCACTGGCTCTGAAACCTGGGGAAACACAAGATCTACCCCCCTCTTCCTCCAGTTAGAGAAGAGAGAGACAAAGGGCAGGCCGTGCTACCCCAATAGAAGACGCACTCATCTTTTGTCATCCCAGCTTTGAGTCCGTCTCGCTGTGGAAGAATGGTGGCGTGTCTCCAACAACGATACTTGGCCGGCTGCCTACCTTGAGACACCCTTGTCTCCTATCCCTCCCCGGGCGACGAGGCCCTTCGGCCATGGTGGCGGAGAGGGCGGGGCAGGCATCCATCACGTTTGAACTCGGTCAATGTGGCACCTTTTCTTGTGGCCGGCTTGGGTCCATGTCTCATGTTCGTCTAGCCCCCTGCCTTGTCTCTTCGTCTATGCCTGCCCGTCCTACCTCGCGCAAGGTTCCATCCGCAAGCCTCTGTGACCCATGGGGGCAGCGGAGAGGGGGTTTCGTCTGTGATATATCTGGGTTTGTCTCTGAAGAGCTCCCTGAAGAACAGCCTTTCGTGAGAGGGGGTCACTGTACCACGAATAAGGAGAGTTAACCGGCATTCCGGAGACAACACGATGGCGAGGATGGGAGGTGGGCCTCGCGACTTGCCCCTAGGCCGGATCCTAGTCAAGGTCAAAATTCTTGAAACAATAGACCAACTATACTCATATACCAACCGCTCTACTACTCTATCCCTTTAGCCCAGCTTTAGTCGGAGGCAGAAGCAATGACTGGAGGGACTCGATCCTAGCGCCTGGCTGAGGGTATTAGTTTGACGATGCGGCCCAGTCTCGGGAAGGGCGCAAGGGTCAAGAGAGAGTATGCACGGCAACAGGGGAGTTCCCGAGCGGATAAGAGCGTTCAAACACGGAAATAACGAGAAGGCGGGCAGCCGACATGAGTCACGTACCATGCGCCATGCCACCGCTTCTCGCTTCCCGCCCGAACCGGCTTCTGGACGGATCTTGCTCGGACAGACGCATCCACCCGCGGCAGAGATGAGGTCCTTCTTCACAGCCTCTCTCAAACTCTTTCAAGTGTTGCACTTAAGCTCCCTACGGCCCCGATCCAAGCTACCGGGTCGCGTGCCCACCCCACCCTCTATGAACTCGATGATCCCTCACCCTCACGATTACCATCCGGACTATCTTCATCAGTCCCTCTTCGTGTTTTCTTTCTTCTTTCATGCCTCTATGGCTACTTGGCCCAGGACTTTACTCGTCGCCCTCGCCCCCTCTCTACTCCCTCTAACCGTCCCCCTTTTCTTTCCATTCATTTTCTATTTCGAGCGAAAAAAAGGCTAGGTGTCGTGTTGAATAAAGCGCGCGTCTGTCTATGTCACTTCCCGAACCCCCTCCTAATATTGCCTTGCTCTTACCCCCTTCTCTTACTATTTCCGTTCCTTTCTTGCGAATTACATTTCTCGGTGCTACTAAAGTGTGCAAGTCGATTCTACCCCTTTTGGGGGATTTTTGGGTTTTCTTCTCTGCTTTTCGCGCTCTTTCTATTTCTGTCCAACCTGATCAAACTTCTACATTTATCATGTCTAAGGTGCGAACCAGTCTGCATGTTTTTGATAAACGAGCCTCTTTCACCTTGCCTTCCTCACCCCTCACCGTCGTTCTTCCCCCTCTCGCCGAGGACCCTCTACGCCTTGTTTAACTACTTTTGTTTTTCATTGACCCTGTATAATTGGGTCCTTGGCGAGAAAGAGAAACGAATGTGGATGACTTATGTAGGGAACAGAGGCGCAGTCCCGACCCCTCTCTATACCTTGATAGAGCCCTGGAGGAGTTGTGAGGATGGATGACGGGCGCGGTTGAATCCATCCCCGCTCGCCGCGGAGGATCATCTCCCGATGAGGTGGACCCCAACACGACCCTTCACACGTCCCACTACATCCAGAATGGTTCTCCTCTATCCAAGTTGCCGAGCCAAGGAGAGGAAAAGGAAGAGAGAGCTGGAGATGGAGAGGGTTTACCCTCTGCCATGTTGACTCTTGGGATCCTGCTGCTCCTCTGTTTCCACTGAAGCGAGGCTTTAGTGTGTAATTCTTTTCCATTTTCTTTTTTCATCTTCTTCCCGCTTTGATGCAGGGAACATATCTAGCTCTTCTTCAAGAGAACACCGGGATTCGGCTCCGTTGCGGAGGCTCTTCCCGGTATTAGATAGGGGCGGCTCCCTTCTTTTTGGATACGCAACCAGAAGACAAAGGGTAACAATATAAGACCCCACGATACAAGTACTCGCCGCGCCCCCAACTTCGCTCCTCTTTGTGACTTTAATGTAATTGCGAGGAAACCATGAGAGGAGTGCACGTCTAGGATTCATAGTTGTCAAGTAATGGATGACCGAGGTCCAGGTTGTTGCTGAAATGGAATTCATTCCGTGTACCATCTTGATAAGGTATGTTGATTTTCTCCCGCCGCTCTTTTGCATTATAAAACATCATCATTCGTACTTGAAAAGATGGACAACCTTGATCAAAGAAAAAAACAAAAGTCTTCATGGTCTTCATTTCCCTTGATCCTCCTATCCCTTCATAATCCTGCTTTCCCCGTCCATTTTGTTTGACACAAAAGTTCATTCATGTCTCGTCTCGACTTGTAACATTGAAAGAGGGTTTCTCTCCATCTTCCTCCAAACTCCCTAACTCGGAGGTTCCAACACACAAATTGGCCCAAGCCTTTTTAATTGCTCACGCAACCTCGCAAAAGGCCTTGAACGTGACAAACTCTTCGCTGCGGGACTCGAGAACGAGCTCGGCGGTGGCACCGACAAAGTAGACGTAGCCCTCCTCAAAGTCCTCGACCTTGGGACCGACCGAGATCTTGCCCTTGCCCTTTGTGCAGATGAGGACGCTGGGGCCCTGGATGGCCTCGAAAGTGGCCTTGGCGCCGTCGCCGTTGAGGGTGCTCATGACGACGGCGAACTCGTCAATGGGGGTCGTAGAGGATGACGGAGGAGCTGGAGCTGTAGCCGGTGCGGTTGAGGGTGGCGTAGGGGTAGTCGACGGGCTTCATCTTTTGCTCCTCGATGGGGGCAAAGTTGTAGGTGAGGCAGCTGACGAGGGTGTCGACGTCCTTGAACTTGGGGGTAAAGCCGGCGCGGATGACGTTGTCGGAGGAGGCCATGCACTCGACAATGTCGCCCGAGATGTAGGCGTGGATGTCGTCGGCCGTGAGGAAGAGGGCTTCGCCGACCTGGAGCTCGACGTAGTTGAGGAAGAACTGGACAAAGAGGCCAATGTCGTTTCCGTACTGTCCGTAGAGACGCTCGACGAGGGCGGCCATCTTCTCGCCGGAGATGGAGGGGACGCCGCCGGCTGCAAAGTCGGCGCCGTCGGACTTGGCGAGCTTGACGAGTTTCTCGGTCTCGGCGTCGACGTCGGCCTGGGACGAGGCCATGAGGCTGCCAAAGGCCTTCTTTAGAATCGCCTTGCTCTTAGCGAGGGCGTCGGCCGAAGGCTCCTCGGACTGAGCCTTGGCGTTGGCGATGAACTCGTCGGCGATCTCGGGGCCCACGAGGGTCTTGAGAGGGCTCAGGTTCTCGAGGAAGTGGGCAATCTCGGAGAGGGGCGAAAACCGCAGAGGCCCTCAAAGGGGTGATGGCGATGGCCATCTCGGGCTTGTGGTTGTCATCGGGGTAGTTCTTGGGGTCGCGGGCGTGGAGCTTCTCGGCGAGCTTCTTGTTGGGGTGGGCTTGGATGGAGAGGGCGGTGTCGATGGAGAGGATCTTGAGGAGGAAGGGTAGCTTGTCGCCGTACTTGGCGGTGATGGGATCGGAGAGGAGGGCCTTGTTGGTCTGGACCATGTCGAGGAGGGTGCGGCCGGTAGCGAGGTCCTTGGAGGGGTTGGAGGGGTGAGTGCCCATCCATAGCTGAGGGAGGCGGGGGTCACGTTGGTTAGTTTACTTGGAGGTGGGTGCGGATGTTGTATGTGTGCAAGGTAGAGGGAAACGAGGGATGGATATCATAGGGAAGGGTATCGGAGTCTCCAATACGATACAGCACCAGGAGCTTCCGTTGCTGCGTGTGGAGGAGGAGCTGTAGCTACAACTCTACCCCTCGCACACGCGAGCAAGTCCCCAAATTCCCAGCCTTCCTCCTCGAAAGGATTGGTTTTCAAGCTTGTCTGTGGATGCTCTGCTTACCTCGGCGTATGGCTGACCAGCCTGGATAGAAAAGCTATCAGAGGGAGTGGCAGCGCCAAACTTGGCGGCGGCGGAATCATTGCCCTTCTTGCCCCAGGCATAAGAGTTGACTCCGCACTGGAGCCTCAGCAGAGGAACTTGCATTGTGACGAAAGGTAGCGACGGAGGGCGGTGAGTGAGTTTGTCTGGCGTCGAGATATGGACTCTCGACGGCGGTTAGAGCTTTGGTTGTATTTTTATCTTTGTTAGAATGGGGCTCTGTTGAGTGTTTCGTTGCTCTGACGTAACGACGTGTGGCGACACACTGTAAAGGGAGTTAGTTGTTGGGTCAGGTGCGGATGTGTTGGAGGGTTGAAAACAGGTTGGACGACTTGGACTGCTTGGGGCAAGCTTCACTGGAGACAAGCGGTTATGTATGTATATATATTACTTGGTCCCTGTTGACGAACTGAATGGCAAGGAATATTGCTTAGCCGCCACGAGGTAACAAGGGGAAGGAGGAAAAAGGGGGCAAGGGCAATGGGAGAAGCTAAGAGAAAAGTGCTTCTTGCCCCCTGGTGAAGTAGTCAGGTGGAAGGGACGAAGGAAGCTACGTGGACGTGGACGAGGGCCCCGGTGCTTAGTTCGACCTGACGATACATGGATGCTCCATTGGGAGTGGCGCACATGTTGCAAGTACACACGGTTTACAAAGGGCGACGAGCGACGGGCGACGGGCGACGGGCGACGGGCAGGTGGGCAGGTGGGCAGGTGGGCAAGGTGGGGTGAACTATAGGTCCATGGGCTTTTTCTTGTTGAGCTCTCTTCGCAAAATATTGACACTTTGGACGTGCCAACCAACCCACCCAGTCGAATGCTTAATTCGAGGAGGGGCAGAGGGGCAGCTGCGCATGGCGGGGAGAAAGGGGGTGCTTGAGCAAGCGGGGACCTCGGAGGCAAGACACGAATTGGGGTCAATTCGAGTCGGTGAAGGAGGGTGCTTTGGTTACTTTTGATTCTCTTTTGGTGGACACGGACGAGTCCGATAATCCACTCAGAGCCTCTTGATTAGCACTTCCTTGTTGATAATCACAATGTCCCGGACGGGCCCTGCAGGTTTTTTCCCGCCAGTTTCCTATGGGACGGAGAATTGTACTTGTCACTTGATTGATAACACCAGTCGACCTACTCAAGCTGTCAAGCCGGTCAAAGGTTTTTCTAATTGAAAGAGATCCATGTCAATTGATTCCATAGCTCTCGAGGGGACGGCTCCGAGGGGACGAGACGTGTATCCCTCCTGGTGGGGATGAACTTATTGGAACCTAATATGCTGTGCGTGAGGTATCATCCGTTTTCCTCGTATGTTGAGGGCCTCGAAAGTATAATCTTCGATACGATACCCGACTTTTCATGGTTTTGGAGTTCATGTGTTGCTGCCAACCTTGACGAATTTCAAGTTAGGCTGTGCGTACGCTATGAGTGGACAGCTGCCAACAGCCGTGAACTAGACCTGCCACTCGCGCCAGCGTGCGCTCTCCCCCACCTCACCCCCGAGCTCGCAAGGGCGTCTTTTCCCGGTGCGCCGCCCACCCAGGCAAGCCAGGATATATCCCCGAAACAAGAAATGTACGTACCGTACACGCGCGCCACCGCGAATAGCCTCAACCTCCTTCTCGACGACCTGCCGCGCACTCCCCCGACCCCACGCCCGTCAGACTCTCTTCCGGGATTTCTCGCGTCTCTTGCCCTCGCTGCGGAGAGACCAAGGTTCCTCAAACGTTCTTGGGCTTTGGCTTTAGACTACCGGGTCCAAACGGTCGCTCTCAACGTCGGCCTGTACCTTTTTTCTTCTGTGATTACCTGGGACCCCTCTCTCTCATCTAGCCATCTTCTTGTCTTGTCATCCACCCGGCTGCTCCTTCCTTCCCTATGATGAGAGCCTTTGGCCCTCAATTAACGTACAGCGTAAAACCCTAATTACCTTCAACTATTTATACCTGTCTGCTCTTCTCTCTCCTCTCTTGAAACTCTCCTTTCATCAATCTTTCTCTGTGTTGTGTACTCCTCAACCTGTTCATACACCAACCCTCACCTTATTGTCCCTAGGTAAGAATTATTTTACATCATTACATCTATTATAGGATAATATCCTTACACTCCCTCCCTCCTTCTGCTACCCACCTTCCCTAATCTTATCATGGCTTCCCAAGATGGACCCACCGCCTGCGTCTGAGAGTGGGTGTTGACTGCCTGCGCAAAAGCCATGTGGACTGGAGTTGGCCACTCCTTCTTCATCTTGTTATTTACCATCTATAAATTTGCTAGATGGTCATTCTTCTTATCCTTAGACTTTCCCATCTCATCCCTCCCCCTTTTCCTACACCAATTCCTCTCCCTCCTCAGCCCGTCCTCCCCGGCCCATTCCCAACAGCCCACCGCCGTCATTACATCCTTTACTACATGCTTGCATTTATACTTTGATGAGTGACCATGGCTGACAAGGAAGGAAAAAGCTTACGAGCACGTTTACGCCAAAGTTTTCGGCGCCCCCAACGCGTCTCAGCCCCTGGGATCGCGCCCAGGAGAGACGTCGTGGGAACTCCGAGTCTGGCTCCTCACCAACCACCTCTGGCCCTCAATCTGGTCCTAGTGGTGATATTGGCTCTGGTATTGGCTCCGAATAGGTCTCGGCCGACCAGCAGAACACAGAGCCCCCACACAACCCTGCTCAGCCAAGGGACTCCGTTGCGACAAGCCGCCTAAGACTCCCTATCCACGGCCCGGCACAGCCTCAGTCATCCATTGCATCTAATTCTACTCTTGACCCGGAGTCGCCAGTGTCCACCATGTCCCAACGCAATCGTAGTGGGCGCGGCCTCAACCGCAACAATGGCAGCTCCCACGGTGAGGAGGCTGCCCTTTGGGACACGCTAAAGGATAAGCTCCCTGAAGTGCTCGCTAAGATCAATGAAGATGGCCGCAACCTCGAAGAGCTTCTCAAACTCGACGCCGAGGCGAGCGCGTATAGAAAAAGGAAAGGAACCCCCGCGAGTTTAATTGCCAAGATGGATGCACACTGCCGCAAGGGTGTCAAGGCCACTGAAGCGATGAAGCTGGAAATCCCAGCCTACGTAGAGAAGATCAATATCCTACGCGCCATCCTCCAAGCGAACAAGGACCAGGGGGTGGAGATTCGGGGCCCGGTCCGAGCTCGACTTCTCGGTCCGCTGCATCTTCTCGACCCACCCGAGATAGAGAACGGGATAGGGAAAGAGAAAGAGAGAGGGACCGGGAGAGGGACCGAGATCGAGACCGCGACCGCGAGAGGGAAAAAGAAAAGGAAAAGGAAAAGGAGCGAGACAAGGATCGAGATCGGGAGAAGGAAAAGGACAAGGACAAGGATCGAGAGCGAGAGCGTGAAACCCGCGATCGGGAACGCGACAGCCAAAGGGACCCGGCAGCCACCTCCTCGCTCTACGACTTTGATGGTTCGGGGAGTCTCCCGTCCGAAGCCCCATGGGCGGATCCGCGAGGAGGTTCGGGACCGACCGCTCCAGCAACCGCGATAGCATCCCCCTCAGTCAGACAGCGCCGAAACGGGCTCAGCAGAGCGAAGCGGCTCGGTGACGGCGGGAAATGGCGGCAGTGCCGCTGCCGCGGCTGCCGCGGCCCAAGCCAAGTCCAAGGTAGTTTTCGCCAAGGGCGACGAGGTGGCATTTCGACCGAAGCAGGTGACGGGCGGCGAGCAGCCGGACTGGATACTCGGAGAAGTGGCGGCTGTGATTGGCGACGGCAAGACGCGCCGCTACAAGGTCATGGACGTGGAGCCTGACGAGTCAAGCAAGCAGCGTGAGTACCGCACCTCGGCATCAAACATGATTCCCATTACATCCGAATCACAGGCTGCAGGCCTTCTCCCTGGGAATCTGGCAAGATTGTCCTCGCCCTGTATCCTCAAACTACGACATTTTATAAAGCTGAAGTAGTGAGCACATCGGTGGATGGCAAGGTCAACCTGCACTTTGAAGGGGAGAACGACTCGGCGACTCTGCAGCAGGTTGAGCGTCGGTTCGTGGTTGATTTTCGGCAGTGAGGGTTAACACGGGGTGGTGATTATACACTTCCTCGGACCACTTGAATCATTTTGAGTCCTTGCACTTGTGGCAACGGACCATGGAGGAGAAGGGATTTCTCTGATTTCCACTTCTCTCTTTCCCTTTTGTTTTCTTGTCTGTGGCGTCTCCTCTGGGACAAGGGCCGGACACGGAAATTACGAGGCTAGGCGGATACCCCTCTAGCGAAACGAACCATGCGGATATGAAATGGGTGAACGTTGTCAGTCGGTAGACTAAGCGGTGGTTGAAATACATTGATAGCAATTGACCCATAGAGGATGAATGGAAGCTGAGTCCCTCGGGTGCGTAAAAGTGAGAGCCAACTGTCTAGATACACCATACTAGCTACCTCCCTCCCTCTACCTTCTTACCATGGAGTATACCGTGGAATGGAGAGTATGGTCTGCACCAAGATAGTGGTACTCTTTAACTTTATGTAGTAAAAAGACGAAGACAAACAAAAAGAAAAGAAGAAAAGAAACGAATATTTGCGGTGAGCCGGGATTGAACCGGCGACCTTTAGATGACTTTTTCGTCTGAAAACAACCGAAGTTAAGGCTTCAGTCTAACGCTCTCCCAACTGAGCTATCCCCGCAGTTTTTGTTTTCTTTTCGTTGGTCTCGTTTTTCCATTTTGGATGTGAAGATTCCCGGGCCATAACTATAGGTATGGTGGTGGAGAGGAGGACCCAAAAAGATGAGGCACAAACCCCTGCTTTGCCAGACGGGCCCATCCCCTGCAATGTGCTGCTATCCATTCATCGTCGTTGGGAATAACGTGACCGGAATTCCTGGCATTTCCTTCGAGGGCGGAAGCTCGGGCCCTCTCTTGACGAAGCTTTATTCCTTTTGCTCTTTTTTTTGCTGAAGGGCGGGCGGTTGATGTATTTTGGGAGGTCTACAGGGAAGATTAGGAAGAAGTGATGCACTGAGGTTGATTCATCCTAGTTGTTAATACATGTTCAACGAGGACGCTCTTCTCAGCCTGGTGTTGGAAAGAGAGCCAGGAACTCAAAAGCCACCTGGTAATGCTAATAACTATTTGACGTTGTTTTACAGGATGAGCTGAAGATGGGCGAATTGGGTTTTCACACCACCACTTCACCACCGTGCTCCTCTCAAAGCTAAAGCGAGGAGTAGGATCGGTGAGGGACCCTCGCCGGAGTAGTCCGTCAACGAAGCCAGTGACTCTCCCAAATTGCAGCTGAGAGTTAGCTTGACTAGCTCATGGCAAAGTGAAACACTGAATCCCAAGATTTATCTTAGAGGATACCCGATATTATGACGGATCGGTGGGAAAATAGCCCAAGTTTTTCTTTCTTTTTTTCTTTCTCCCAGGAAAAGGGCGTTATTGTCCCCTTAAAACCCCATCTCATCTAGGCTTGGACGTGCGTGTTTGTGGCATGTCTTCCTTTGACATCTGCCTGTTACCCTTCTCGTCCCACACGAGATGCTGTGCTCAATGTTGGTGTGTGGGGGCGGGTCGAATTTGAAAAAGGAACAGAAAAAGAAGGGACCTTGTGGGGCAGAAACCCAAACCCGCACGGGTACCTTGCACCAAAGGTTTTATGACGCTTGCCCCAAAACCGAGGCTGCATCTGACAACAGACTCTCGGCTTCCGCTGGTCTGTTGTTGCGGGTTTTGCCTGGTCCAGGCAGCCGAGTTCCATGGGCAGAGGGCATTGTTTGGTCAACAATCGAGCCATTGAAGCGCCCAAATATCCATTGGTTCCCCATTCCATGTCCTTGGGCGATTGCCCCAGGAAGGACCGTGTGCCGGTATTCCCTGGGCGAATCTTCCCTTTGGCCCTGTGGGTTCAAGTTCATCCATGCTTTGGGGAGTGGGCTCCTTTCCAATAGTCGCCCGAGGCCGTCCGTCGCGAATTATGTCCGTTCATCTGCAGGACGCTTGTTCGAAGCACGTCGTGCGTGCAGTTGACACGTCGCAAGGTCAACTTGGGGAGCTGATCCCCAAAATCAGTCCAAGACACACGGCCAAGGGGGCAGGGTCCGGAAATATTCCTGGCAAGAAGATACGCAAGATTGGTGCTAGGGCGACGTTTGTTGCACGCAAATCCCATACAATACCTCGGCGATCTTTGATGCGTTAAATTTAGCAAATTCACTGCTCATCGAGTGAAAATCCTACCTTTCCTGACAAACAAAGGGGGTCTTGTTTTAATCTCAGAGGAGGGCTCGCTTGCTTATTTAGTTTGCGCTTGTGTCCCTTTCCCACAGCCCTTCATCATGCCCCTTTTCCTCAAGTGGAGGAGGGGTATTACCCAAATCTCCTCGGTGGAATCGCCCCAAATACCAAACCAGAATAATACCCTAAAAGGGCAAGGCTTCCTCCCATCTGCAGCACCTTTAAAGCAAGAGCCGGCCTAAGAAAACATCCAAGATTGGACGGGCTAAGTGATTGTAGCGTGGGGCAGACAACAGTGTCTGTCGAATCGACCGTCCAGTCCACTATACGCCTTCGATAAGGATATCCAACATGTTGACCCCCTCGCCTTGATGGCATATTGTGCTGGTTTCCCTTGAAGACCGACACCGAGTTGTTGAATGGACTGGCCAAAGTAGCCCGTTCCTTTCGTGGTAGCCGCGCCGATCCGGTTCGTTTCGAATTTCACCCGTCGTTTGTTCAGACCGGTATTACTTTCCTCTTCCCAACCATCTCTTCGGGACAGATACATTCCACGATTCCGGACTCCTGTCTCGTAGTTCAAACATTTTTATGTGCTCTTGCGTCGAAGCAGATGTGGCTCGTGCTGTGCTTCATCATTGATCGAGATAAGGACGGCAAGCGCAGGGTGGCTGGGGGACGCTGGCTACTTCATGTTCTCGTGGTTGTTATATGCCTAATAAATCTCATCCCACCGTAAAATTGCCATTGGGCCCGTGGTTAATATTATCGTCGTTATTTGCTTTCCTTTTATTTCTCCGAACGGCACAAGCCATCCCATCCCATCCCATCCCATCCCATCCCATCCCACACCCCATCGCCCCTCCCGAAATCAGACAGAAAAAAAGGTCACTTCACCAAGGTCACTTCGCTGCACAGCAGGAACAGTTACTACTTCTGGCGGCAGCTCAAGCCCTTGGGAAAGTGCCCTGGAGTGTGTGTCGCACCCACCCGGGAAAAGCGGACTGCGCTTGCCGTCCAATCCCTCTGCGTGCCCCTAACCCAAACCGGACACTTCGCTGCAACAGAGCAACAACGCTTGGAGAAACCCCAGAGTTGAAACAAAGACATTTGTTGATCATCTCTTTTTCTTTTGGTTTCTTTTTTCTTCTTCCTTTTCTCTTCGTCCCCTCATCTCCCCTTTCACGCCTCGAGTGTTGTCGTTCAATCGCGTTCTTACGCTCCTTCAACCTTCTCTCCGAGCGGCACCCAACCCGAATTCTCGAAACCATCCCTCACCAACACATTTCAGCCCCCAACATCCGAATCGAAGTTAGCTCCTTTCCAACGGCGCTCCTTGCCCCCTTTCGCACAGTTGCCCCTGTCGCATCGAATCGTCAACCCACGAAGTCGACTTCCTATTCCCCCTCAGCCGAAAACAACAGGAACCAAATAAACCTCGTGCCTTCTCAACCCAAGAACTCGACCTAACTCACATTTTCCCTTGTACTCCTCACACCAAACCGGCACAATGGGTGGCCAGTTTTCCAAGATGATGGGCAAGATCTTCGGATCCAAGGAGATGCGTATCCTTATGCTCGGTCTCGACGCCGCCGGTAAAACCACGATTCTCTACAAGCTCAAGCTCGGCCAAGATGTCACCACAATCCCTACCGTTGGGTTCAACGTCGAGACCGTTACCTATAAGAATGTCAAGTTCAACGTTTGGGACGTGGGCGGCCAGGATAAGATCCGCCCTCTCTGGAGGCATTACTTTAGCGGTGCGTTTTCGCTTTCCTTCGTCTCCTAGACCTTTCCCTGCCCCTCTTGAGACCACTACCCCCTTTAGCCCGTGGACTCAGGTGGTGATCACCACGAGGGGAAGAAATGGCGGCCTGGTAAACAGGGGGAGGCGGACATGATTGTGTGTGTGCAGACATCATCCAATCTCGAGCGCTCCCTCCGCTCATCCTGAGCCATGCTCTCAGGGCCGCCATTTGTTCCAAGTTCCTGGATATGGGCCGTGCAAGTTGATTATAGTTTCTAACCTTGTGTGAGCATAACAGGTACCCAAGGCCTCATTTTCGTCATTGACTCTTCAGATCGTGCGCGTATCGATGAGGCGAAGCAGGAATTGCACAGGATCATCAATGATCGCGAGATGAAGGATAGCTTGCTCCTCGTCTTTGCGAACAAGCAGGATCTCCCTGAAGGTGCGTACGGTAGCGACACAACGCGACCCGCTCTCACAGCTCTTCTCAATCGCCCCCTTCTCCTCGTACCCCGCTAACCCGATGGCTCCCTGCCGTTTCTTTTCTACAGCCCTGAAGCCCCAAGAAGTTACCGAGGCCCTCCAACTCTCTAAGCTCAAGGATAAGGTGTGGTACGTCGTTCCTAGTTGCGCGACCACCGGAGAAGGTCTTCTCGAGGGCCTTGCTTGGCTATCCAACAACGTCAAGGCCCCTCCTGCTCCTGTGAAGAAATAGTGATTCTTTTTCATCCGCCATGGGGATCCCTAGGTGGTTCTGCGACCTTACATCGATTTTACCGCCTACATCCGCACCTGTTTTGTGTCTCTCTTTTTATCCTTCTCGACACGCAGCGATATCCTGAAGTCCTGTTTTCAACTATTTCCCAAATACAAACCATAATTTTCTCTTCTTCCCCACCCGCAGTGCAAGCTGTTGACGAGGGGTCGAAACTGGAGTAGAAGGGAAGGATCGTGGAGAGGAAGAAGGCCTCCATACCTACCCCTAGATGCGGGTCTGGAGTGTTTGGTGCTACTATTCTTTCTTCCCCTTGACCACTCCCCTTTTCTTGCCCACGCCGAGAAGAAGAAGAGAGTGAAGAAGAAAAAAGAAGAAGAAGAGGAAGGAGCAGAAAAGAAGAAGAAAAGACGTTGCGAGGAACACGATACCACTGGAAGGGAAGGGAGGTGATGGACATTTGTTGTTGTCTTGTTCTTTTTACCCTCTGTTTTTCTCGATATCTGTTTGTTTTGAAACTGGTTTTCCTTTCTTGTTCGACTGGCATATATGCAAAGTAATGATTCCCCCTTGCCTCCCGCAAAACCCCTCTCCGTTAATCTAAGCTCATCCTTACCCACCTGTTTCGGTTTCTCTCTATCTCCGATTTTGGTTGCAAATCTGGTTGCCGTTCACCCGACAAAGCGCCTGTGTGCGTCCCTCTCTCGAATCATGCTTTCCCAGACTCTCGGCATGAGGGCCTTGGAGAGGCCGGTCAGAGAACAGGGAAACGTATGACAATCCGAAGAAGAGGTGTTATATATATCTAGACATATATGTCTGTGTATACAAATGTGGCTTGTTTTCCTCCGCTCTTTTTCTTTCCAGCTAAACGAGCGAATTATTCCATGGAGGGCCTAAGGCAGAGGCTGCGAAGCTGGTACTTTGTAGGCCGGGAAGGGAAGAGAAGTGTTAGACAGGCTAAGAGGGGAATTTCAACGTAGCCTCATGAAATTATTCAAGTGGCTCTATCTAATACAAATAGGTGCGAAGACTTTACGACGTTGAGACGTAAAAGTGAAGGGTGAGCCCGAATGAAAGGGTTTGAGATGCGACTGGGCCATGGCCTGTGTTACTTTATTTTATTTTTTTATTTTTTTGGAGACTGCTTGCTATCAACTACTCCGCTGTATAATGGGGGATAAAAGACTATGAGACCTTCTCTTGATGAAGAAAAATGGAAAAAGAGAACTCGAAACGCCGTGTTCCATCGTGTTGTATGCATACGCTGCCCATTCCAGAAACCCAAGAGACACCGCAGAAGGAGAGAAAGACGGAAAAAAAAGGCGGGGGAAAGATGACGAAGAGATGACGAACAACGGTAAGCTAGCGCCGCGGCAAAGAGCCATATAGACAAACAAGTGTGCGAGCGAGGGGTGGGCTCAGTTCATCCGTCCACCACGGGCAAGATGGTCTACCTACGCCTCCTTGACCCTCTTCCCCGGCCTGACGAGGGAGTCGTCGGCGAGGCCGCTCCTCTTGGTGCCGGGGAGGCTGCTGGTGCGAATGTCGTCATCCTGGGTGACCCTGCGGCGGGGGTACTCGTTGGGGAGGCCCTCGAAGCAGCTGGCGACGAGGCGGTCGCCGGAGCTGAAGAAGGTGTGCTCTAGGGCCTGGGCGGCGGTGAGGCGCTTTTCGGGGTCGTACTCGAGCAGGCCGGACAGGAGGTCGTAGCCCTCGGCGCTGAGGGAGGCGAGCGGGGAGGTGGAGTTGGCGAGGCCGGCGAAGGAGCTGGTTTGGCCCTGGGTGATGGTGCTGTAGTACCATTTTTCGAGGTGGGAGGTGCTCATGGGGTGGGGCTGGTGGCGGCCGTGCTGCTGTTGTTGGTGTTGCTGGTGGTGGTGTTGATGGTGCTGCTGCTGCTGGTGATGGTGGTGTTGCTGATGTTGGTGGTGGTGGTGCTGGGGGTGCTGCTGGTGGTGGGAGGCCATGGGGGACTGGAGGGTGCGGAGCTGGAGGTACTCGGGCATGGCGGCGAGGAGGGGCCACTGCTCCTTGGTGGGCATGCCCATGATGTCGATGATCTTTGCATCTGGTTGCGCTGAAAGGGGACCGTCTTCTTGCTGTCCATCTTGGCCTCCTCGCCCTTGAAGATGGGGCGGAGGGAGAGGAGCTCGGCAAAGATGCAGCCGACGGCCCACATGTCTATGGCGGGGGTGTAGTGCTGGCTGCCGAGGATGAGCTCGGGGGCGCGGTACCAGATGGTGACGACGACCTTGTCGCCGCTGAAGAGGGAGTGCAGGGGTTTGTCGAAGCGGCGGGCGAGGCCGAGATCGCCAATCTTGACCTCGCCGGCCGAGGTGACCATGATGTTGGCGGGCTTGAGGTCGCGGTGGAGGACCCAGTTGGTGTGCAGGTACTGGCAGCCGTTGAGCAGCTGGAACATGATGCTCTTGACCATGCCGGGGAGATGGGGTGGCGGGGCTGCTGGTTGTGGTGGTGGATGATTTGGAGGAGGTCGTGCTCGGCGTACTCAAAGACCATGAAGATGCACTTGTCCTCGAGCATGATCTCGACGAGCTTGATGACGTTTTCGTGCCTCAGCTCGGTGCAGAGGGACATTTCGCGGATGGCGCTCTGGGAGATGCCCGTGTAGGTGACTTGCTCGCCCTCCTTGTCGGGCTTGAACTTTTTGATGGCGAACTCGCCGGGCTTGCCGCCGCGGGCGAGGGCCTTGTACACGCGGCCATAGGTGCCGCTGCTGATGAAGCCGACGACCTTGTACTTGTCGGTGACGCGCACCTTGGGTTGGTAGGCAATGTGCCCGTGGCCGCGGTCTACGGCCGAGCCCGTTAGCCGGTTCTGCGTGAGGTGAGAAGAGGTCCGCATATTACCTTCGAACACCGCCTGGACGCTGTGCTTGAGGGTTTGGCTGCGGGAGCCGGGAACCGAGCCAGGACAGGATGCGCCGGTCGGTGGATTAGTATGGCCCATGGCAAAAGGAGTGTGGGCGGCGGGCAAGGGAGGGGGTGTGCGTTATAAAATAAAATAAAAGAGAGATGGGGTGGGTATCAAACGTGACCCAATACTGATGAGAATAAGCTAGGATAGGACACGGAAGGAAAATAACGGCCGGTGGGGGTGGGCGCCCGCCTACGCCAGCGCTGGTGGGACGGACGGACGGACGGACGGTTTGGTGTTGGTTGAGGCCAGTTCCTCTTGAGAGCCACTGGGTAAGAAAGAAGAGGATCAAAGAGGGCTTTTAGGGGGCGTGTTTGTCAGTTCTACCAATGAAGACTAGTGAACAAAGCGGAGACTCTTGGGGAGGGACCCCAGAGCGAGAGAGAGAGAGAAAGGCGAGACACGGGTTAAGCGAGCTCAACTGTTTTTCCTTTTTGTTCCTTCCCCTTTTTCATCCGTGGATGACTACAATAGGACGGCCAACGTCTTCACGGAGCAAAGGGGGTGGCTCGAGGCCAGCACTCGCTCCACTTGGCCGTTGATTAGGATTTCGGGATGGTTCCTAAAAGAGACGACGGAGGCTAGGGAGGGAAAAAGGACGGAATGGAGAGGTGGAGGTGGAGGATGCGGCTCTCGGAAAATAAATCTCCAGACACGATGGCGGAGATGACGTCTAGGACTAAGGAGAAGGACGGGCTAGTTCCTCTAAGAAATAGATACTTGAACGCTGGAGGGGAGGGGGTTGGTGAGGAAGAGGAGGAGGGTTCAATGTCGGGGTGATATTATGCAGGGAGATGAAGTGAGGATGGTCGGTCGTCTGAATACGGTCACATCTCGTCGGTGTAAGAAGAGGAACTCGGAGTCTCAGCCATTGGGAACGCGGACGGGATATTCTTGATCCAATAGATTCATCCACTCAGCGCAGTCCTCCCTCTCGTCGCCATCTGCTTGCTGCCCTTTGGCATCAATCGAGCAATGCTGGGTGGCTGGCCGGACAGTAGCAATGATGACTAACCAGATGATGGATTGGGTGCGTGGCGTAGACCCACCGTGGCCCCGCTACGCCACAAAGAGCACAGCGAGCGAGGTACAAAGAGTGTGTGTGTGTGCGTGGACGTGCGTGTGAGGTGAGAGAGTGTGGGCGTCGAGAGCTTTATGGGGGAAGTCGCCCATCGAACCAAGTTACGAGGTGTAACCCCACTATTTGCATCTCCAACGTCAACCTCTCGCTGCTTCCTGCTCGCCCGGCTTTACCCTCTCTCCCGCCATCGCCATTCTCCCCGCAGAGACACACTCTCCAGACCGACGTCTGGAGCTCAATTCGATATTGTCGCCGTTTTCGCCTTGCGTTTCCATCTTGCCCCCTCCTAACCCTTTCGCCATGACCGCCCCCATAGGTACGTTACGTCAGATGAAGCTCCTCGAAAACCCCGCTCTCGAGCGAATGCCCTCCCTAGGCTTCCAGAACCCGCCGCCCCGTCGGGGCATCGCAACGAACCATGCGGCGGCCAAACTCCCGCTTCACCCTAAACCACATCTAGCTCCCTCTCTACCTTTTCTATCCCTGCCCTTCCGAGTTTTTTTCTTTTCCTTACTACCACACGTCACCCCACGCGATCCCAAGAAATGTTGGCGGTTTTGTCGCAACTCACAAGGGCTGCCTTTGGCTAACCATATGACTCTACGGAAACAATAGTCCTCGATGGAGGAACCGGGTTCCTCAAGGTGGGCTATGCGGCGCAGAACTTCCCCGAGTTCCAGTACCCGTCGATAGTCGGCCGGCCGATTCTTCGAAGCGAGGAGCGGGGCGACAGCGACCTCGTGATCAAGGACATAATGTGCGGCGACGAGGCCGCGGCCGCCCGCACCATGTTGCAAATCAGCTACCCGATGGAGAATGGTATCGTCAAGAAGTGGGAAGACATGCAGCACCTGTGGGACTACACCTTTTTCGAAAAGATGAAGATTGACCCTCGGGGTCGCAAGATCCTCCTCACCGAGCCGCCCATGAACCCCTTAAGAAACCGCGAGCAGATGTGCGAGGTCATGTTTGAGCGCTACGACTTTGGCGGGGTCTACGTCGCCATTCAGGCCGTGCTGGCTCTATATGCTCAAGGTACGTTTTTTTTTTTTGGTTGTCGATCCGCAGCCTCTTATGTCCGCGGTTTCTGGAGGCCCCGGAATAAAAGGAAATAAATGCTGACAAGGAACCCCTCGGCCCCTCCTCTCCATAGGTCTCAGCTCCGGCGTGGTTGTCGATTCGGGTGACGGCGTTACCCACATTGTGCCCGTGTACGAGTCGGTCGTGCTTAACCACCTGACGAGGAGATTGGATGTTGCCGGCCGAGATGTTACCAGGAATCTCATCGCGCTGCTCACCCGCCGCGGCTACGCGCTCAACCGAACGGCCGACTTCGAGACAGTGCGCCAGATCAAGGAGAAGCTCTGCTACGTCTCGTACGACCTCGAGCTCGATAAACGCCTGAGCGAGGACACCACGGTGCTGGTGGAGAGCTACACGCTCCCCGACGGTCGCGTCATCCGCGTAGGCAGCGAGAGGTTCGAGGCGCCCGAGTGCCTCTTCCAGCCTCACCTCGTCGACTGCGAACAGCCCGGCATCGCCGAGTTCCTCTTCAACACCATCCAGGCCGCCGACGTCGACGTGCGGTCCTCCCTCTACAAGGCCATTGTCCTCTCGGGAGGCTCCAGCATGTACCCCGGTCTTCCGTCGCGGTTGGAGAAGGAGCTCAAGCAGCTGTGGCTCACGCGCGTGTTGGGCGGAAACCCCGAAAGGCTCAGCAAGTTCAAGGTGCGAATAGAAGATCCTCCTCGTAGGAGGCACATGGTCTTCCTCGGAGGTGCCGTGCTCGCCAACATCATGGCGGACAAGGACAGCATGTGGGTCTCCAAGCAGGAGTGGGAAGAGCAAGGTCCTAGGGTGCTTGAAAAGCTTGGCCCGCGATAAGGGAAAGATGGTTGGGTCTCGCGCCGCCGTACTCGCTCTAGTTTCTTATTCTTCTTCTTTATTCTTGCTTCGAATAATCTCTTGTCCCTCGCCTCTGAAGGAGTGGTGCCTTTCTCCAAGTCCTCTGATCGGTAGAGGGGGACAAGCTAGGAACGAAGGGGAGGGAGAGGAGAGGCAAAGAGGGGAAAAGAATAATGGAGCAAAGCGAGGGTGGCTCATTCCTAGTTATGAGAAAAGGAATGAAAGGGAGCAAGGAGAGAGATTTTGTGATTTGGTCAAAACAAAACATGGCTTTGGAGGGCAGCATCTCAAGATGTAAAGTGTGGTACTGTGTTGAAGAGCGTACGGTACGGATGATGGCTGAGAGAGGGTTCAATGCATCCCACTCTGAAAATACAATCCAACAACAATTTTTATACAACTGACTATACTGTTTTTTTCTTCTTTGTAAATCTTCTCGAAGCTACCCGTGCCCATTTCATCTCAATGCCACGAATTAGAAAACATGCGCCTATTGCGACGCAGGACGTGCAAAGGGCGTGAGGGCGCTCATGTTCCAATCAAGCCGCCTCTTGTTCTTTCGTCCTTTTCCTCCCTCTTTTTTCCCACCTTTCGGTCAAAGTGGGGGTGGAGGGGAACGAGGGACTGAAGCGGGGACATGGCTTGCTCGGCGGCGGCTCCGCGACCTTTACGTACTCATTTTTTTTGAGACAGTTGCAGGCACGCGCGAATGCGAACCGTCATCTCGTCCTTTTTCCAGATCCCTTCTTCTTTTCAGTCTTTCGGGGACTTCTTTTCAAAAGCCCTTTGGTTAATCTCTTCCCTTACCACTTTAGGCGTTGTTGGTACTCAGCGTATCTACTCGTTCCCCTGCTCTCGTAACACCACCCACTTCGCCTCGTTCCTAGCATCTTCCGAGTTTTAACAAGTAGCGCTCTAATCCCGTATATCTCCCCCTCCTTCCAATATAAAAGAAACCACCAAAGAAAAAAATGTCCTCGGACAAGATCTCGGTGCTCTTCGTCTGCCTCGGTAACATCTGCCGCTCGACCATGGCGGAGGGCGTGTTCCAGTCCGTGGCGGGAAAGGCGCCGTACAAGGATCTCATCGAGGAGATTGATTCGTGCGGAACGGGTATGAGGCCATCTTTCCTTCTTTCCCTTCTTCTTTTCTCTTCCTTTGGTAGTATGACGATGACCGGGGGCTATCGAGCTGGAGGCGCCATGCCCGCGTCTTGGAGAAGAGGACTTGTATGAGCGATAGAGAATAAGGCCTACCTACTGATACTCTGTGGTTTCGTCGTTGCAGCTGCGTATCATGTCGGATCGCCGCCAGACCACAGGACGATGGCGACGCTGAAATCCAACGGCGTCACGGACTACCGCCACCGAGGCCGCCAGGTAAGTTTGATAGCATGGTGCACCGGAACCCCACCTCCCCTGCTTCCCCTCCACCAGCACCTTGAGGAGTATACCCTTTCCATCCGTCCCTACATTTGATCCCTGGGAAGATAACGAAAGGGAAAACATACCTAACCAACCCCCAAACAATCTACACCTTCACCCCCAACACAGCTCCAAAAAGCAGATTTTGACCGCTTCGACTACATCTTCGCCATGGATGAGTCGAACCTATCCGATATCCGCAACCTGCAACGCTCCAAGAAGGGATCCAAGGCCCAAGTCATGCTGTGGGGTCGGTACGCGGGCGGCGATCGCCGTGGGGGCCGGGACGAGGTCGTCGAGGATCCGTATTACGGCGGGACGGAGGGGTTCGACGTGGCGTACGAGCAGTGTGCGCGCTTCACGGCCAACTTCTTGAAGGAGACTTTTCCGGATGTCAAAGCGGAGTGAGGAACCGTCGGACATGTCGTGACGGCTAGCTGATGCGCGAGAATGCGTGCCCGCGGTTGCGCCTTCATCTTCCCTTCCTTCTTTCCGAGTTCCTTCGCATCTTTTTCAACGCTCATGGGGGAGCAAGGGGAGTCGATCGGTGTCAAGAGGAGCATCGTCGCAATCGGTCGCCATCGGTCGCCATCGGTCGTCATCGTTTTATAGTGTCATCTAGTGTCATCGTGCATCGTGCATCGTCGCAAAGAATGGCCAGGAGAGGCCAGCGGAGGAAAGGTATGCCCAATGTGGAGTGCGAAACAAGGCAAGGAGGGAAGCCTGAGTGAGAGGACGAGGCCACGGTCTTGGGGAAACCTCCCCTTACTTATATGCGGAGTAGGGCTCACTTCAACCAACCCGAGTGGAGTGAACAGAGGAGACTAAGGGGTAACTCCGCGATAGCCACACAATAAACAGTCAACATGTGTGATAGGCACTCGCATCTCTACGCAAGAAGGGGACGGCTACGGCCAACGTAGGATAAGCGCTTAGTCGCGATGTCGATCGTTATATTTATGTGGGATAAACACGCCCATTTCCATTAGGAGGGCCAAACAACCTTGGTTTCTCTGTTTCATTCTTGCGCAAGGAAGGCATCGTGAACTATTACTGGCAAGAGTGCCCCTCAGTCATTCGTCGCCGCTCGCAGAATCCCTAGCAACGAATCACGATCGTCCGACAGGGGTTAGCTAGATGGCAGACAGTCTCGAAGGTTACCTCAGACTTGGCTTCGAACCCTCCATATGTGCAAGGTTTATTGCGGCTAAACCCCCAAGGCCTCTCCTTTTGAAATGTTTTTCAGGACAGGAAAGGAGTTAATGATTGGTATTTCGGACGAAAGAAAAGCACAAAACACGAGTTGGCCTAAGGCTAAGGAGGGGAATAGGCAACGGGTATTACAAAACTGCAAGTTGATACAAAAGGAGCAGACACATCTAAGCGCCTTCACGGTCACCAGGCTCGGCAAGGAGCGCATGGATTGCCCGGTGGATCGTCCGGGTGCCCAAAACCATGCATAGGGTTCGCGGGTACCTTACGGGACGGGCCCAAAGTCGAGGCCTAGGGCGAAATCAATCTGGGGGTGACGTCGATGGGGATGGGAAAAGGGTGGACAAAGTGGCCTTGGACCTATGATTCGACAACTCGAACAAGTGTATCAGGCTTGAGTGTGTGTCCGGTGGCATCGCAATCGCGCGCGGCTACACCTTGCACTATGGTTGGTCAGCCGTGCCAAGACGTCACCGGGGTCACGGTTTTGGCAGGGCCGGACAGGGGGAGGAGGGGGCTCTTGCTTTTGTTTCCTCGACCTTTTAGAATAGAAGGGTGGCTTGTACACGGGACGTCGGTTCTAAGTTTGGCACATCAGCGTTAAATGTCCATCTATTGTTAATAATAGGTGCCGCGGCTTGAGAAGATTGACCCCTTTGTACTTCCAAGGTTGTATAGCCACAAAACACCATGCGCTGAGTCCATTTTTAGAGAAGGCTAGACGGCGCAAGGGAGAAGAAATAAACTGGGTTTCGCTGCGTTTGATGCCCTGATGCTCAGGTGCTCTAGTACTCTGAATTTTGATTGCTAATGGTCGTGGGTTTGCCCTTCCCGCCCGAGATAGATTGCACGGCGTCTCGTGGGGGCCGCATCGAGAGGGTGGGCCCCAGACGGCATTTGCCATTGATTTCATCAATCCATCGGGCCACCAGTGTACTTGTATCCTCGGCTACTCAATAGATCTTCAGGCACTGGATTAATGAATCGATGCGTGTTTGTATTCGTCCCCGGACGGCCAGTCGGAGGCTCCGTCGAAAATCCACCACGTTAAAGAGGACATGTCAGACTTTAGAAGCATTGAAAGGAAGCTCTGCCCGGCAGTTGTACCTCTTGGTGAGGTGACAAAGCACATTCGCAGTAAGCAGCCCCTTTTATCCAACTTTTGTCCTGATTGCCCTGAGGCTGACAACCTGCACCCGGCATCTCGTGCCCCCATAGGGCAGAGGATGTGGGTGTGCTTTGGTTCCCACGGAGCTTGTTCCTCAAGACATCTCAACTGGGGTCGGGATTGGCTGGGGATCGAGAGGGGGGCATCTCTAGCTTCTCGTGGGCTCATCGTCATTGGTGCCGGTTTCGAGGACTAGACACGCGCACACGGGAAACTTCTTTTTCGTTCTTTTACTCGGGCTTTTTTTTTTTTCTTCGTCGGGGGCTTTGGTTTCTCTGCATTTTCCATTTGTCTTCCCTATTGACATTGGTAGAAAAGACTCCACGCATCATGATGGTGGGGGAAGGGAGCATTGCCGTCAGCAGAAGGAGCGAGGCAGTCACGTCGGAAGCAGAAGGGTCCGCCGAGCACAGCCTTCCCGCCGGCGCCTCCATCAAGGAAAGGGCAATTGAACAAATACTTCGTACTTTCGAAAGGTCAAACGATTCCAAAAGTCTCAAGAAAGGAAAGGGCCGGGGCAACTTGGCTGCGGTCAAAGTCAATATAATAGTAATAATTGACCTTCCATTAATGGAGTCGCGACTGCAACGGTGAATGCACCCGCCGGGACTCACTCCTGTGCCTCGAGCTACCTTTCGGTTCGTGTGTGGTGCTGTGCTGTGCTGTGCTGTGCTGCGCGCGGGAGCGGGGTCCATCCCATCCGTCGCTGGCCCTGAGGCGCGATGGAGGGGCGAAAGTGGGTGTGTCGACTTGGACTTGTGTGAGCGATCTGCCCCTCCTTTTCCCTTGCTCCCTTTGTCTGTGAGAGGCGACAAGAACGATTAAGCATTGATACTTTGAACAAGGTACAAAGGGGCAAAATCCAGGCTGAGTTACCAATGGTTGACCTTGATCCCCAGCTTCCAATAGACAGATCGAGCTCGAATAATGCTGTCCCACCCCCCCCTCCCCTTTCGTGGTGATGATGCGGTTTTCGTTCAATGACTGCTGGCTGACCAAGTACACGAGAGCCGGTGCATCCATCCACCATTTAACGGCGCCAGCCCCGTCCACCCTCGATCCTGCTTCCCCCTTTGGAACTGCAGCGTCTCCATTATTCTCTCTCCATGTCCATTCTTTGATTGTTCGTCTTTGAATAGAATAACTTGCCTTGATAGCCCCCTCTCCCGCTCCCTCCCCTGCCTTTTCCTTTTCCACCTCAGTCTCTTCGAGCCTCTTATCAATATACACGCGGACTATTTCTCCCTCGACCTAAACCGCACTTGCGATTGTGCACCCGAGACTAGGCCCTCCTCCTAGCCCTATACCAGGTACTTGCGCGCAGCCTCTTCGCCCGCCACAAGCTCCCTGCAGATTTTGAGCTGTTTGCGCAGCCCGCCCTCCTTTATCCGTCCCGCACCGAGCGAGCTCGAGTTTCCCGACCTCCACTCTTTCTCAACCATCTTATACATTAAACCCTTTTCTCTCTATTCTTGTTCTTTTGGAGATTCACCCAATTTTTTTTTCCTTACTCGTTTTACCCTCTTTTTCTAGTCGCCAGCCTGCGATTTTCCCCCTTTGTGTTCCATAGTTCGTGGTAGTTCTCTCCTCCATCCCGGCCCGGTTCCTAGTCCCCAAGGCCTCGCAAACAGAAGTGCTCCGTCGTCATCCGCACCCGCCCCTCTTCTTCTAAACGGCCAACGCCCCTTCAGCCCCACCTACTTTCCCTCCCTCTGCCTGGCCCTCCCCCGCCCTCTTAGCAGCTCCATCAACCAGACAGCTCTCCGTGCTCGTTGCGCGACACAAAAAGAACCCCAAAAAAGAAACCTACACCTCTCAAGGGGAAGAGGAAAAGCGAAAGAAAGAACAAAAGGAAACCCACATAATAGATAATCCAAGCCGAGCCAGCCAACCGCCGCCATCATGGGTGATCTCCAAGGTCGCAAGGTCTTCAAGGTTTTCAACCAAGACTTCATCGTCGACGAACGATATACCGTCACTAAAGAACTTGGCCAGGGCGCCTACGGCATTGTCTGGTAAGCTAAAAACAATTTCTCATCTTTTGTGGCCCTTATCTTCTTCCACTTTCACTACTCTCTTCCCACTTCCGCTGGCCGTTTGTTATGTGGGTAAAGGAGTGTGTCTCTTTCCTTCAATCCACTGCCCCGCCGCGCGTAACCCCGCAGAGAGCTGGCTATGTTGAGAACCGACCCGCCAGCCTCGCCTGGCCTTGGCTCATCGCATTGTGTCGATGAGCGAGGTGCACCGCTCTGGCCATACGGGGAAGGGAGTCAATTTCATGGTGGCCGTGAAACTCGACGAGTTCGCTATGCCTTGGCGTGACTTTGCCCATGGCGAACGAATCCGCCCACTTGGCGCGCCAGTGCGCTTCGTTTGTCTGTCTAGCTCTAGAATTAGTCGGTCCAGGAACGTGCGATACACAAAAGAGATAGCACTCTAAATGCTAACCGGAACAGCGCTGCTGTAAACAACCAGACAAACGAGGGCGTCGCCATCAAGAAGGTCACCAATGTCTTCAGCAAGAAGATTCTCGCCAAGCGCGCCTTGCGCGAGATCAAGCTCCTCCAGCACTTTAGGGGACACCGAAACGTGAGTCGTTGCCTCTCCTCTCCTTGGACTCGAGTCCACGCCACCCCTAAAGAGCACGCGACCAGCTGCGGCACGGTCGTTCTTTTCCAGTTCTTCCCAACAGTTCCTAATCCGAGGTGTCTAGATTACCTGTCTTTACGACATGGATATTCCCCGTCCCGACAACTTTAACGAGACCTATCTCTATGAAGGTACGATGCGTCCCCCTCCCTTCCCCAACAACAGCGAATCCCTACTTTCTCCCCGGGACAGTAGATGATGATGCTGTATTTTTCCTTTTCGCATGTACGAGGAAGAAAGAGAGGAGACGGAGCAAAAAGAAAATGGTGCTAACACTAGGTCTCCCATAACAGAGCTGATGGAGTGCGATCTTGCCGCCATCATCAGGTCCGGCCAGCCCCTTACCGACGCCCACTTCCAGTCCTTCATCTACCAGATTCTTTGCGGTCTCAAGTACATCCACTCGGCCAACGTGCTTCACCGCGATCTCAAGCCCGGCAACCTTCTCGTGAATGCCGACTGCGAGCTCAAGATTTGCGATTTCGGCCTGGCCCGTGGCTTCTCTATCGACCCCGAGGAGAACGCCGGTTACATGACGGAGTATGTCGCTACCAGGTGGTACCGTGCCCCCGAAATCATGTTGAGCTTCCAAAACTATACCAAAGCGAGTGAGTAACCATCGCATCGCCCTCTCTCTCCCCGATATCCACTCTCGTTCTTTCCCCTACTCCCTACCACCTTTTCTTTCGAACCCTCATGGCGAAAGTGAAGAATTGAAGTGGGGTTCACCGAAAACAAGGGAGGGAAATGTCAAGGCCAGGATGATGGCGCTCTTTCCCGGTTTTTGTTCCTGTTCACTAACAGTCCCCCTCCTCCGTAGTTGACGTGTGGTCGGTTGGCTGCATTCTCGCCGAGCTTCTCGGCGGACGTCCTTTCTTCAAGGGTCGAGACTACGTCGACCAGCTCAACCAGATCCTCCACATCCTTGGTACTCCCAACGAGGAGACTCTCTCGCGGATAGGATCCTCCAGGGCCCAGGAATACGTAAGGAACCTTCCTTATATGCCCAAGAAGCCCTTCCCTTCGCTCTTCCCCAACGCCAACCCCGACGCCCTCGACCTCCTCGACAAGATGCTTGCCTTCGACCCCGCATCCCGCATCAGCGTAGAGCAGGCCCTCGAACACCCCTACCTTCAAATTTGGCACGATGCCTCGGACGAGCCCGAGTGCCCCACCACTTTCAACTTCGACTTCGAGGTGGTCGAGGACGTGGGAGAGATGCGCAAGATGATCCTCGACGAGGTCTACAGGTTCCGCCAGCTCGTCAGGCAAGTCCCTGGAGCTCAAGGTGGCGCCCAGGGCTTGGGTCAGCCCGGCGCTGGCCAGGTTCCCATGCCTCACCAAAGCGGCGGCCAGTGGAAGGCAGATGACCCTAGGCCGCACGAGTACGGCGGTGGCCACGCCCACGATCTCGAGGCCGAGCTTGCTGCCGGTATTGATATGAGGCGATGAACGCAGGGGCTGTGAGGCAAGGAGGAGAGAGGTCTGGTAGTGGTGGACGGTGTGCGGCGTAGAGAGAGGACGAGGGCTCCCCGCACATGAGAGGTTCAGGGAAAGTTTTGAAAATTTGGCCACCATATAAACATATTCTTTTGCCCACTCTGTTTTTTTTCTTCCTATCTTGGGTTTAGCTCTTTCTGTTAATATCATGAAGAGAAAGATAATGAAATCGAAAAAGTCGAGATGTATGCTTCTTGCTCTAGACCGTCTTTGTATTTTTCGAGAGATCTGCTTCCCCTGCCTCGCCTGTTTTTGGGTGACGTCCTCCACCACCAATCGCACCTCAGGTCATTAACTCCAGGCTCATTAGAAGCCTTTTCCATGTATTCCTTTAATAACCTTGTTCTTTTTCCCCTTGCTTCTTTTACGTTTCTTGTCGGTTTCGGTAACCCAAACAATACGATGTTGTCCAACGTTACAAATATCTTGGCTATTCAGAATTGGTGGTTCACAACTAATCTCAGCTAAGCGCCCTTTCATCCTCCGCCCGGGAGGGGCCTCGCGCCGGGCCGCCGTGGGCGGTTCCGGACGAGGCGAGTCAGCCGAGACCGAGTCTCATTGGGCCGAGTGGAGACAGTAAAGAAAAAGAAAATAGGAATGAAAACAAAAAAGGACGAAACGGGTGGCCTTGTTCTTGACCTTGCTGAAGGAGGCATCATTTTAGATATAAATAGACCTTGGGTCAATGAGAGGGTCTTGGACCTTGTTTGTGGGGGTATCTCGTGAAGAAACGTCTAGAGGAAGGTGGAAAAAGGGGGTTTTTATGCCCAGCCTATTTCGAATACATGTAGGTGTATGTGATCTTCGGAGAGAGTTGAGGGGATACGAGGGAAAGGATTGAAAAGCGATGTGAGGCTTGGAGTGGGATATCTGTTTTACGAGCCGCGCAGAGTCTCAAGAGGAGCTGATTCCTACTTTCCCATCTTCGCCTTTTGCCCTATAGGTCATTTTTTCGTCGATGAACAAGAAAACAGGAGCTTCTGTTTTCTTTTCCTTTTTGTTCTTTCTTTTTGCATCTTGACTCTTGTGCGGCACTTCCTAACTTGGGGATACCGCGCGCTGATCCGCCTATCAGATCTAGGTGAAAGAACCATAATTCAAGGCGAAGGGAAGAAAGAAGATGAAATACATGTAGTCAAAGGATACATAATACATTTATTGTTAAACAAAGAGATCTACCCGCCCGCCAAGTCACGCTGAGCACCGGTTCGTCAAAATATACCGTTTGGGCTCGTCTGGGGAAAAAAGTCCCCCAATACCGGCTGGCGAGAAAGGGCAAAGGCGCAACATTGAAATGCATGAAGAAGAAAAAAACGCCCCCATTGAATTCTTCATTGACAGTTTAAGCAAGAGCACGGAAAGTGTCAAGAGGAAAAAAGACGCAGGGTTTCCGCATGTCTGGTTGAGGCAATTCTCGCATTAAAATATATATCAGCCTAGTGCATCCGTCCATTATCATCCATTTAGCAGCGAGTAGTTATTTACACAACAGACGCATAGCCTCTCTCTCTTCACTGTGTGTGTGTGGGCTATATCCGGCCGCGCCCTCCCCCTCATTTCCATCTTTCGGGCCATTTTGAGAGCGGCGCGAATGGATGCTTTTGTGTGAGGAGAAGCGCCTTGTTGCGGGAGAAGCAAGAGTTGCGTTCTTTCCCGCGTCGCCTTCTTTTTTTTTCTCTTCTTTTTCTCGAGATGGGTACTCGCGCGTCTGTCAGCGAACCATCCATCTCTCCTGCGCTCTTCCTTCCCGTTGGGTATTTCCAAACCATAATTGGCTCGCTGTCAATCCCCCATTCCCAATTGGTCGGGCGGCCAGCTGAGGAAAATCCTTGAAAGAACGTTCCCTCTTTGACATCTTTTGGTGGACCAGGAAATTGTAAGTGATGGGAAAGCGAGGCCACTACATCAACCAGAACAGAAAAAAAGAAATCCAAGAAAAAAGAACGAAAAAGGTATTCCAAGATGTGCAGAGCGCCTCGGAAGATAGAATAAATATGTGCAAAGAAATAAGTGTTGTCAGAGATTGACCAGTATGTGGCGCGATTCGGAGAGGCAAGACGACTCCGTCGCATGCAGGTCGAGGGTCTTCGGTTTTCGGCGACCTCTTTAACCGTACAGGTAGTAAAAGGTGGCGTACTCGGTGCTGTCGTCGCCTACGGAGGAGCAGGTATGGCCGGCACCGCCAACAGTGTTGACGCGGTACACGTACTGAATGCCAGTAGAGCCACCAGCATCTCCGAGAAGGAGCCACTTGACAGCCTTGCTGCCGTCCTTGCTGGTGCCGGCGGTGGCGGGGGCGTTGAGGTCGTCGAGCTTCTTAGCGCGGAAGAAGTCGCTGCCGAGGTCGAACGTCGGGACACCACCGTTGTCAAAGTAGTGGACACCCTTGAACTTGAGAGGCGCGCCGGCACTGGGAAGGGTGACGTCGGCGGGGGCAATCCAGGGGTTCGACTTGACGACGGCGGGGGCGGCGCCGTCGATGCGGCCTTCGACCTCCTCCGCCTCAATGTTCAAGGGGACGTCAGTTTGGGCGGCCTCGTTGGCGAGCCCGAAAACACCCTCGAGGGACAAGGCAGAGGCGCCCTGAGCAGGGAAGAACGACCACACATCGTAAAGCACGGCGAGGGCACCGGTAGCCGTGGAGGTGAAGGGACCATCCTGTTCGGCCTGGGTGCACGTGTAGTTCTGGTAGCCGTGGCCGAGAAGGACATGCTTCAGCTTAGTGCCGGTAGGAGGGGCAGCTAGTTCCCGATCTGTGGATTGGATCTCATGTCAGTTTTTTTCTTCTTCCCAATTGCTCCTTTCACATCACGCTCGAACTGGGCAAGATCTACAACTTACCACCACCATTGAGAGGGAGAGCCGGGGAGGAACGGTAGGGGGTTGGCAGCGCAAGAATCCCTCCTCCTGGGTGCCGCGAGAGCAAGACCGAAAGTGGTCAGGAGAGCGAGTTTGTGCAAATGCATTGTGGAAAGGCGTGTTGGGAAAATGAGAAAAAAGGTGAGTGTATGCGAAGACAGATGATACCAGCTCAACCACTTTTGTTTTAGTCAACAAGAAAGAGAAAGCGAGGATCAAGTTAAAAACCGGTCCGTGTCGTTGAAGCAAGTCTAAGTTGACTGAAAGGCAAGAAGCTCGGAAAGGAGGCGACTGGAGGTAGAGAGAGGGAGAGAGTGAGAGAGAGAGAGAGCTAGAGACACGAGGCGAGCAAGGTATATGAAATGAAGGCGAACGCAAGGTCAAAAGAAAAAAAGAGATGCGGCGCAACCAAGAAAAAAGAAGCAAGGTGAATGTGAAAAAGAGATCGGGCTCTTCCAAAGTTTGGGGGAGAAAATAAAGAAGACCCGCAGTGTTGACTTATATGCAGGTAGGCGGCAGCTGAAGGGACAAGGAAGGATGGGAGCGAGCAGGGGTGTGTGGTGGTACCTCGCAAAGTAAGGGCGAGGCGTTTGGGAGGAAATGAGCTGTGTACCGGCGCTAATATCGAGCGGATGCCAGCGCAAAAAGAAAAGAAGAAACTAGTAGAGCTGCTCTTCCCGATGCAGAGGAGCCTTGGCGCAAAGGTCCGGAAAAGGGCTATACAGCGGTATATGTAGATATATATACTATATATATTGGATGAATGTAATATGGAGGTGGCAAAACCCGAACGGAAAGGTCGAGAGAGTCCAAGACGTGGAGAACGGCGAGTTGCCAAGAGAATAAAGTTGAAGAAAAAAGAGTAGAAATAAAAGGCTCGGGTCCTTGGTGCTTTTGGAGAAATCTGGAAGGGAAATCCTGGGCAGGTTCGGAATCCCGCAATCTGAATGGCAAGTGAAGAGAAAGTGGAAGTGAAGTGAGGAGGTTGGATAGGCAGGATAAATTGAGCCAGAGAGAAGACACGGGACGGGACAGAAACGACATCTTATACCGCATCACAATCCAACGGGCTGGATCTGGGGAAAAGAAAAGAAGAAGACACGAACGCACACGCACACACACACAACTACGCAGGGCTTGGCCATGTTGGTGTTGCTCCTGGACCCTCATCGCACTTACACCACCACACATCTCACCTCTCCGCCCCTCTTCTCCCCTCCCTACCTCCTGCAACGGCATCAACATCAGAGCTACCGATTCTTGTAACCCGAGAGGGAGAGCTCTCGGGGACGCTTGGCTCGGCCACGCAGGGATAATTGGATTGCTTCGCCCGAGTCCTTTGCGGTTGGCCCCTCCTCGAGGCCGTTGTTTCCTCGAGCTGAAGGATCTCGGGAGTCGTGCGCAGTTTCAACTCGAGCAGCGCTTGACTTATCTTGGCCAAGGGCATGCTCGGCATGGCGTGGTGAGCAAAGAAACGAAAAAGAAAAGGGAAAACAGACTGGCGGAGTCTTCCCAAAGGAAGTGGGCCCCGGGGTCGTTGGGCCTCGCCCAGCATCCTTGTGGCATTGGGGAAGCAAACCTGCCCATGGGCCGTGGGCCTTGAGGGAGAAGAGGAGGAGCTTAGGAATCAAAAGCTACTTTGACATCCCAATCCTCCAGTGACGGGGCTGTGGAATTCTATCAAGCAGGGGGGACCCCGAAGTACCATGAATGCAAGCCTTAACTGTCCATTTTATTCAGGGAACCGTTGCACTAGATTTTTCCCTCTTTGGGAGGGGTGGGAGGGATGAGGGATGGTCATGGCGACTGCAGCTGACCATCGTGGCCGCGTATCCTTCCCATGGCTTTCGCGTGTCGGCCAGCTCAAGCCGACGAGCGAGGTGGAAAAGGGACAAGAAGAACGAGGGAAAAGAAAAAAAAAAAAAAAAAAAAAGGCCTGTGTGGGAGGCCCGGGTTAGCGTCTCGCCCGCCCTCTGTGTCCCCAAAACTGGCTTCAGCAAAGCTCTCCGCAAGAGCCACTCTCTTAGGACGCATGGCCGCGGAGGTCCATGTTTGCGCATCCATGCGAACCAGAATACTTTCCTCCCCTTCCTTGCCCTTGCTCTTGAACCGGCGTTCCGCCGAGCCAAGAGACGGGAGTGAAGCGCAACAGTGAAGGATGGTAAAGGGCTGACTGTGCCTTCATTGCATTGACCCAGAGAGGGAAGAGGGCCGAGGATGGTCAAGGCAAGTTCGGCAAGCCTTTTCATAACGGCGGAATTCAAAGAGAGAAGAGAAAAAGAAAGAAAAGCAAGTACAAAGAAACAAGAAACGTGTCGTGCCGTTGCTGCGCGCATGGCGATGGAGATGAACCACACTCGTAGATCGATCGAAAAATAAAGGGCATAATAAGCTACAAGAGAAGAATAGGAGTCAATTCCTTTCTCACCCTCCTCAGAACGATCGAACAATAACTCTGGACCAAACTTCGGGAGCGCAGGGGGAGGAAGGCAAACGCAAGGGGGACGGGCACAGAACCCTCATCGAATGCCTGGCGAAGGCACAAACCCTGGGAACCTCTCGACTTGAGATGACCACTCAGGATGAACGGGACAAGGGTGCCGATAGCAGAATCCGGTAGGAGCCAGAGTCGTGGAAATCGCAATAGTCTTCGCTGAGGTACTTTGCCCGTAACGCGGAGGTGCCCCCCTCCAAATTGGCCAGGGAGGGTGGGAGCGGGTAGAAATTGCAAAATCCCTGTGCGCGGATCTCGACCATCGTCTCCTTGCCTTTGTGTGTTGTTGGAGTGCACACCTGTCCATGCCATTCATCCACTTGGACATACAATGAATGGTTCTTTCCTTTTCTTCTTCTCTCCCCCTCGCCTTGTTCTTTCCATTGCCGGAACATGGTACGCATAACATTAGCGGAAAGCGCAATCCCTTGCGCTTGCCCATATTATTTCCCGATCAATTTTGGCGCATGCTTATGTGAGGGTGTACTGCAGCACTATGCTCAGGCGCTGGTCCGGGCGCAGCGCATTGCTCACTAGACCAAGTCTTTTTCTCTCCTCTCAAGAGAGAGAGAGAGAGAGAGAGAGAGAGAGAGTGTGTGTGTGTCAATGAAGCCCGAGAAGAGGAAGCGAGAGAGATAGAAGATGGACTAGACTACCAAGGCCATGTGCCTCGGAACATCCTTCCGCTCGTCAACAGTCAAATCTTGGCCTTGAATCTTTCTGAGACGCGGGACCTAGCTTGAACAGCCACCGCCCATTCACATCCCTCACGGCAACAGTCCTGGCTGTTTGAATACGCATGTTTCTTTTCTTTTCCTTTTTTTTTTTTTTTTTTTTCCTTCTATTTTTCCCGCATATGCTAAAAAGATTGGGGCTGTCAGTCAGAAACCGAGAAGCCCGCTACCACCCCGCGCGGCACGGGGCACTCAGGTACGCCAGGCATGGGGAACGTACTATTCCCGATCTGGAAAGCTCGTAATAACGGGTGGACAAAACAGGGATGGCTGGACCTCTCATTGTCGCCCATAGCCGCCAGAGGCTCCGTCCAACTCCGAAATTAGCCCGCCTTTCAATCCCACTTCCCCCGCCTTCACACTCTCTTCCTGTGTACTCGTTCTGTCACTACCTTATCCTTCGCTTCTGGCCTCCCTCGAGACAGCCTCGACCGACACGCTCACTTGACAACGGGATGACGGCATTTTCGTGAGGCAAGGGGGACGAAGCTAGAGCTGTCCATGGAAGCGAGGATTGATAAACATTGAAAGAGTCGACGAAAGAGTTACATGGCATTGGAGTACATGTCGTTGGGCGTGGTGTGTGACGCGTCCGGCCAACTCAGTCTTCCTTGCTTCCATAAAGTACTCTACTCAATGTCTGGAAAGGAAAGCGCCAGTGAACTTGTCAACATCGGTACATTCACTAGTCAATCTTGAACAGCCCGGCTCTGCGCTTCACAGGACCAACAATCTTGGCAGCATCGTGGTTTAGACGAGGTTGTACAGGGGAGAGGCCAGAGGATTTGCGTTGGTCTCCCGGATCGGCGGCGGGAGACCAACAGGATTCACGCTAGATTTGTCCCCCAAGTCCCATCAATTCGGCTCATGGGACAAGATATCTTGTCCAACGGCCTCAAAACAATATAGATGATCTCATGAAGTAGATTACACTCTCCTGTGGAGCCGGGCCAGGGTCATAGTATGTGCAATGGTTGAGGTAGATACGGTACTACGAGATAACGATTCACAATGCGCAGCTAGGTAAAATGACGGTGAGAAACCTAAAGACACGCTCTGCATAGTCTGACTTGGTTGCACCTTTCTTTCCAAAAGTCCATTTCTTGTTGCCGGCGTTGGCGCTTGTCGGCTCATGTCCACTTACTTCATAACGGACCTTTCCCTGACGCCCCTCGGCCAAAGGCGTCTTGCGCAGAGGCCTGGCTGAAAGAAATACGTGGGCGGATATCAGCGCTGTCCTGTTGGCTGATTCCTCGCCAAGCTGGCTTGGCAGTCTTGCTCTTTGGATCTGCCAGGTAGCTCCAATCTAGCGCGCGGATCTGGCGGGTCGAGGCCAGTATTAAAAAAATGAGGGAGAAAGAAGGCGAGGGAAAACCGCGCAAAAGACATGGGCATATTGAGGCTTAGTCCCTTGGCAAATGGCATGGGTTCATGCTCGCTTCCTCGCGGTCAAGCTCGAGAGAGAGATAACTGCAGCTCCACCGTGTTCATTCTGGTTCTCTGGAATTTTGAGCCACAAGCGCGGCGGCGATGCGATGGGGTGGGGAACGGTGCCCATCGGAGGTGCATCAATGCAACGCATCACCGCACGCAGGTCGTCTAACAGTCCGGACACCGACGTCGATGGGGGAAGGCTCAGGTGACCATTTCTGCAAGTCTGTGTAAGCCCCCAAGCGGTTCAAGCGCACCCTGAAGACTGGGCAGTCACAAGCGACACATCGCCAAGGGGGCCATTTTTCCTTATTCTTTTCCCTCCCGCCTCTTGTACTTCTCCGTGTATGTGTACTTGGATGGCGAAAGCGGTATTATTGTTAACAAGCATTCGGGACTGGGAACAAAAAACCGAGCAGCCAAGCGGGGTAGTACAAGTAGTGACACGTCCCTTTCTCGCTAATGGTCGCTTCGCATCGACCAATGCACCTTTTTGAAATTTGACAAGAAGTTGGCGCAAGCGTCGAGACCAGGGCCCGTCAAAATCTGCCGACTTGTTTTTCCCAGTGTATGTTTCCCTTGCTTGCTGTCGCAATCGAATCCCTACTTCGTAGGAAGGCCAAGCAAGGCTCGCCAAGGTATCAAGCGTGCGATATGCCAGCAGCTCCGGCTGCTTTTGCCCTTTGCATCATGCGTCCGCTTAAAAGGATGCCGGTAAGACATGGTAAGCGATGAAGGAGCCCAAGGGAGGATCGCGGCTATCCCACCCGGTCTCCTCCTCTTAGCCGAAGAGCCCGGCAAACAACAAAACGAGGGCCTTAGGTTCCACCTGTCTCCTCTCCCTTCACTATGCATGGTGCATCCTCTCATCCCAACTCTCGCGACATGTATTGCCACTGCTACAGGATGGGCGGTCGTTTGGTTCCATTTTCCCCGTTCAACGCACGCTGGAACCATCCATACCGTCAAAGTGTCAATTCCTTTCCACGGCAGACACAACGTTCACTGCCTCTCGAGGATTGTCGAGCTAGTTCCTGTGTCTCACATTTCCAAAAGGGGAAGGTTTGGAGGATGGAGGGATTTGGCCTAGCTCCATCTTTGCAACCCCACGTCTTGCACCACGCTACCATTTTTACTTGAGTGATAAACGGATGCACCTCTGAAACAGACCCGCACAAACCACATCTTGACTTCCCAGCAGCCTTGCCTGGTGGCTTTGGTCAACGATGCACGAGCCCACCAATATATTAGGTCTTAGCTCCATCAATCAATCTCGGAAGCGAGAGTGCCCTGTCCCCCGCGAGGCTCTTCGGTGAGCAATGGGGAGGGAAAAGCAAAAAGGGTGACGGTATTATGGTTCTATTGTGGTAAATGTTGCAAGGAAGGACTTGGGATCGATTTCGACGTCGCACCCAGTTTCAGGGGAAATCGCGCGATCGAGCCTGTCAGCCCTAATGTATGTAGGGGTTAGGAGCATGTCGTGTTGATGGATGCCATACCATAACCAGGGCAAAGAAAATTCCGAATGTCGCTGCGCACGCTCAACGGCAGATAGCACCTGGCCAAGGGGGCGCCTTTACTCGAAGAAGAAGGAAGAATCAAAAGTTGGTGAGTTTCAGCCCAATGCGTTTGGACGATGATTGTTTTGTCCTCTTCCCGGCAGCCCGGTCGTGGGCCAAGAGAAAATCCCTCCGATGGTGGATGGAGAATCCCTGGTCACTGGCGATCAGCAATGTTTCGTTTCCATCTGCTCTCCACGGCCCTTTTCTGGTAATAATTAAGCTCAGCGAGGCCATGGCGGCGACGAACAAGCTCTGTCCGTATTATCTCACTATTCCGTCAAGATTAAAGGGGAGCTGCTGACCATGCGAGGTTGTCCGTGCTCCGAGCTAGGCTTTCGCGAACAGACAGTTTTTATCCCCCAAAACCACACAGCCTTATGGCGAGTTCGTCGTTGCTTTCTCCATGTTGGTGAACGCCCCTCTCCCAACAAAGTTCCAGGCTTTGCGGGGAGCGACGCGATCAAGAGCCGGCGTGATCTTTCATAATGGATTGGGAGTGCTTGGGCCAAGCCAACCCGATTTAGGGCATATTCGACTTGGCTATCTTCTTCGATCGACTCCTTGGACAAAAGCCACTGAATGACGTTTCAGTTCTGCATTATTAGATCGGGGCGCTGATCTCGGGCGACCGAGTGCGGTGGTGCTCGCGAAGATGAATGAACAAACTAGCTTGAGCTCCGCAAAGACCCCTTCTGCGCCGCTTTTCTCAGGCAGAGCATGCTCAGCCTGACCAACCGATATGCGCGACAGCTCCGATGATCCAAAGGCCTTCAAGCGACCAGTTGGTTGTCCATGAAATATGAGCTGCTGATCCCGAACCCAGCGCTTTGGACCATACGCCGTTATGGTCCCATGAATCCGGGGTTTATTAAGCGGCGCAGCATTCTCCCCTATGGCCCCCAAACCAACCTGTCATTAGCTTCGCGCACCGGCATTGCTCTCCCAAGTGGGAGATGATCAGGCGCAGCGGCGGTCTGATCCCGAGGCCTTGGCTCAGATATTGAGTTGCTGCGCCTGTCCTAGGTAAAGGCCTAGACGCTTTGCAGTCGAGGCCTTTTGGGGCTAACCAACTTGCATGTTTTTGTCAAGTGAAACGAAGCCCCATGCTTTCAAACCTCAAGAGAGAAAAAGCTAGAGAGGAAAAGAAATAAAGCTTGGTCTAATACTAGAGAGCAAGGGCTCATGCTTTTAGCACATTGTGGCCGCGCCCGGTGAGCATAGCCAATCCCCAAGTTCCTGCGTGGATGCCTGTCGACTCCAGACGTTCATCAATCAATTAGTTTTAGCGTTGGTAGGAAGAAGGGGATGCCGTGCCAATGACAATTGCGTCTTGCATCTCAAAGACAATTAGGTTATACGAAGAGCCGCCGCCCCCAAGCCTCCGAGTTCCCATTTTGGGGGTGTTTGACAATCTCCCTCTCTTGCACATTGCCAAATTGCATAATGTTGAAGCCTAGGATGCCAAGAGCAGGTCGGGTGAGCCCGAATTAGTGAACGCTGGGGGAGGATGACGACGCTGGCATGTTTAGCTAATCATAGCCAGCCGGTTTTGGTGGTCACTCTTGGCTTTCGCACACGTACTCGAGATCAGTAATCGGAAAAAGAAGCGCGTTGCGTCCTCCTGATTCGTCAGAATTTGGGCAAAAGGCTTGGCTCACTTCCCTCTCTCCCTCGCTGTCACAAGGCCATCATGGGTAGGGAGTGCTGGTCGCAGGGCTCAATCGTTTTGGTTTACCAAGGCCTCGTCATGATTAATGATCACTGTTCATCTATTACGGTTTTTAGGGTCACAGATCTCTTCTCTCACATAGAAATGATCGCTGAGCATGGAACAGAGCAGACACCAGGGCTACGCAATGCCCGGGATGAGAATACGGACGAGACACTGACCAGGCGATAGGAGTCAGTCGCAGGGATAGGCGAAAAAGTGTAATGATCAAGTAGATGTAATCTAGGCAAATGGAGATGTTGAACATCTGGATGAAGATGAGTTCGAGGATATAAGGATGAGGATATCTCCACTTGATCAAAGGAAGAATCTCTCATCATCATCATCCATCGTCACCATCTCAACCTCTCATTCCCAATATATCAAACAAGCTACCCCCACTCTTACACTCTCCTTCACAAGAAGCCATTAAGCCCACAGTCACATAGCCAGTCATCATGTCTTCTCCCAAGCTCATCACCATCTTTGGCGCCACAGGCAACCAAGGCCGCAGCGTCGCCCTATCCCTCTTGGGAAACAAGGCCGGTGCCTTTCGCGTCCGCGCCATAACCCGCAACCCCGACAGCGATGGTGCCAAGGCTCTCACTCAGGCCGGAGCCGAGATCTTCAAGGCCGACGGCACCGCTCGTGACCTAATGGTTGCGGCGTTTGCCGGTAGCTGGGGAGCGTTTGTGAATACCAATGGCGATGATCCGGTAAGTCCGAGATCCCCTTTGCCTGGTATAATCCTCTTCCGTGTTCTGATCAATATTTTGCTCGCAGGCCCTCGATGAGCCCGGACACCCTTCAGAGGTGGATATCGGCAAGATTGTCGTGGACGCCGCCGCGGAGGCTGGCGTAAAACACATCGTGTACAGTGGCATGGTTTCCTCCACCGAGGTCACAAAGGGCAAATACACTGCGCAGGCTTTCGACAGTAGGTTTCGTTCCGGGTGATTTAAGCAGGAGCGCGTATTTTGGCTAACGTAAACCGACGGTTTGTAGACAAGAACACAGTCGGCCGCTATGCTAGCTCCAAGACCGAGTTCGAGACGGTCAACATCGTGAGCCCCGGAAACTACATGGAGAATTTCCTCATTGAGGAACTCGCTGGGATCTTTGGTGGCTTCCCCAGTGTCCCGGACAATGAAGGGTACCTAACTTACAGCACTCCTCGCTGGGGAGGAAATGAGGACACCCTTACATTGCCATCGGGGATGATTATGGCGACCTCGTCCATGGTGTCTTGCTTGACCCCGCCAAGTACAACGGGCAGCTCGTCCAGGGGTTCAGCCAGTCTATCAAGCCTGGCGATGCGCTGAAGAACTTTGAGGAAGGTGAGTAAACTTATCCGAGCCTGTGACTGAAAAAAGGCGGTGTACCCGAAGGGATGGGGAAGAATAGTCGGGAAAGAACCGGATTACTAACATGGGGTACCGTAGTTACTGGCAAGAAGGCGCGATATGTGCCAATGGAGAGCTTGGATGATTTGCAGACATACGGCATGAGGGCCCTCGAGACGGTCAAGAGCGTATTCGGCTTTTGCCAAGCCAGTGGTGGGAACTACTACGGACTTCCCAACGATGCCGCGCCCGCTGCCCAGTTGAAGAAGGCCGCAGCTGAGGCCCAGGGAAAGTCTGGAAGCGAAACCGAGCTGCTCACCATCAAGGAGTTTTTCAAGCGACACTTTGCGTCCTAAGCCCTTGAGTCACGCTTAACATTCAGCGCAGGGGATCTTTTGGAGGCCAGCCTCGATCAATGGGCAAATTGGATGTGGAGAGGGATATGGGTATTCCATTTGTAATTAGCTGACGGTTTGATGCTTGATTCTATTCAATTGACTTCTATCATTAAGCGAATAGCAGCGGCGGGGTATCATGGGGTATCTAATACTCATGCGTTACGTGGGCACGTGAATATCTGAAGCGGGGATGAAAGTCGGGGCCGGACGTATAGGAGTGATGCTCAAGAAATGACTTCGGAGCGATCGACGAGGCCTGTAAGGCTAGGTCATCTTTGTCCAATACGGCGAGGGAGTCTCAAAAGAATGGACCATGTGTGATGAGTGAAAGTGGGAGGTGCGCATCCCGACATGTGCAGGAGCGATGGGTAATGACGAGATCAAGGGTGCCAATCTCAGTGCGCCTGCGGTGGTACGTGATTGCCAACGGTCTTGTAAAGGTCCCTGAGCTCGAACGATTCATGCGCCCCTTCGGGCACTTCTCCAATCACCCGAGCAGGTTTCCCTGCCACAATAGTGAAGCTGGGGATCACCATGTTGGGGGCACGACGGTGTTATCGAGAATCTTGACATAGTCCTTGATGATGGCAAACTCCCCAATCACCACGTTGTGTCCAATGTGGACGTGGCTGCCGATGCTGGCGGCCCGCACAGCAGTCCTTTCACCCACAAATACATGGTCACCCATCCTCAGAGGCATGTGGCTATAGACCCTACGCGAGTGGTTAGCCTTCGAGCGGTCACCGCGGTAGCCGGGATTCGTGAACTGGTAGACACGCACCCTTTGAACAGCCGACCCGGCGGCCGGAGTAGTGAGCCTCTACTTAGAAAGCAATATCGGCCCATGGCGACCGAGGTGGAGCTGCCGGCTGCCTGTCCGGACGAGGAGGAGGAGGATGACGAGGACGGCTGGGAGCGGACGAGATCACCTCGGATCATCGCCTCTGGCTGGATGACAGACTTTCCTCCGAGCATGATGTTTTGGGTACCAACGAGAATGGCCTTCCGGGCAACTTTGTTCCCCGTGTCCTAGCGTGGGAAAGTGTTAATTTCATAGTAATCCCACGACGGATTTCGTCGCTCGAGGGCCAGCTTAGACTTACCGTCTCTATATACTCGCCCTTTGCGGGTCTTCTGGACATCTTGGCTGGCTGATTGAACAAAGTCTGGGAATACTAATCCTCAATCTTTCACCAAACCGTCTTGATTCCTTCCCTCCCAAGTCTTGAGGGTTATAATTCTCGCTTGTCCGTCGACTGGACGCATGAACTGTGATGGCAGGTACGAACCGTGGGGCAGGCCTCCCAGCCAAACAAGTCGGAGCTCGCGGTCAGAAGCTGGGAGGCAGCCACATTCCACGTGAGTTCGCGCCACATGCGCCACGCAACACACATGCTCAGCCAAGCTCTCAGCCCACGATGGTACCCAACCAAGCAAAGAATCAGCTGTTGCTTCCGCTCTTTTCTGAAGAGGGTAAAGAAAATTCTGACGTAGTCTTGCGATTTCCACAATCACCCCTTTATCCACGACCGCCTCTCGATGTTCAATTGATTCCCCGTCGACCGCGATGCTGCTACTGAGCACAGCAACGGTCAAATAGTCCAGCTGCACGTCCTGTTAGCTTTTTTTTTTTTTTTTCCAGAGCTCCCGAGATTCTAGTCGATCCCATCGGAGCTACCCTGCACACCCCGCGACGACCGAACATTCGATCGCATTCCGCTCGCTATCCGGCACCTCCGCGCCGAAACTCCCTTTGAGCTTGAACGCGCGAACCGTTCCCCTCCCCGCGCCCGAGCTTTCTCGAAATTCACCACATTCAAGGGTAAACGATCGATAATTTAAAAACAGAGTTCAAAATCCACCCCTCACCATGTCGCAACGGCTTGGACCGCTCCGGCTGCTGCAAGCCGCGCGGCCGGCGAGCTTCCAGCAAATCAACCAGTCGTCCCGGATGATGTTCACGACAACCCAATACTCGAGCCCCTCGCAGCTCCTCCGACAGGTCAACTCCGGTTTCCGCATGGCCTCGCGACAGACGACGGAAACCTCCCGTTCCCGAGGCTACGGCCCTTCTCCCAGCGCCCGCGACGGCCCTTTAGCACCTCGTCGCGCTTTCGAAGCGCGAAGGAGGGATCCAAAGAGGGAGCAAAGGACGGCGCGAAGGATAGTGCCAAGGAGGGGACCAAGGAGGGAGCCAAGGCCGAGGCTGGACCGCAGACACTGGGTGCGCGCTTAAAGAAGCTCACGAAGGAGTATGGATGGGTCACGGTCGCGGTTTATTTTGGACTCAGCGTTCTTGACTTTCCTTTTTGCTTCTTGATCGTTAAGGTCGTCGGACCCGAGAAGATTGGTATGGCATCGCAGTCGCTTCCTCCCCTTCTCCTTGACGCCCCTCAAGCTAACAGCATTTTTAGGCGAGATTGAACATCATGTCATCGAATACACCAGCCATGTCGTACCGGAGCCCGTGAAGACCGCCTTCAACAGCTCCCGCGAGTGGGCAAAGGAAGCATGGGCGAGCTTCAGAGGACAGGCTGGAGACAGCGCCGGCAAGGGTGACTGGGGCGTGAAGTCGGCGCAAGATGCGCACCAAGTGCAAGCGAGTACGTTTCTATCCCAAAATCATTCCCGACCCTTCTCACCTTACGGATGAGGGGAGGATGTGCATCCTTTTGTGATGAAGAGTTTTGTGACTAACCAAGGGCTTTTTTCTTTGTCTGCTTAGGTCTTGCCACGCAGCTTGCTCTTGCATATGCCATCCATAAAAGCTTCATCTTCCTCCGCGTACCCCTCACAGCGGCCGTGACGCCAAAGGTTGTCAAGATCCTCAGGGGCTGGGGCTGGCAGATCGGGAAGAAGAAGAGCAAGTCTTAATCACCCACAACCATACAGAAAGACCCCAATCCAAAAAAAACGACTGAGGGAAAATGCGGCGTTGGTTTGGACTTCCGCCCCGGTTGATCGGCCATGGCCGTCCTCCGTGGACAAATCTTTGCCGACCACATAGCCCGGACCCTTTGATCTGCTTCACTTCCCTCTTCCCTCCACCTCTCCCTTCACTATCACTCCCAATGCCAAAATACTGTTAGATCAACCTGTACTTCTTTCCTTTCCTTGTCCTGTCGAAGTGAGGGGACCGTCCTCCCCTGGGAGTTTTAGACTAGAGCCCGACGTTCCCCACTCTTCTGCATTTTCACCCAGCATCATAGATTCGCCATAGACCCAATATTTGTATAATATAACTTTCCATCTACCATGAGGATTATCCATCTTCCCTTCAAGTTAGCTCTTTCCCCCCCACCCCCAGGGCCCATCCCGACGCTCCCCACATCCATGTCCGCGAGAATAGCGTACACGTTGCGTTTCGCGTTCTGGGTCAGAGTTCAATACACGCGGAGGAATCACCGCTTTGGGTCGAGGAGCGGGACGACAAAGCTTAACAGACCCGCCTGTCAGCCGTTGCTGCTGTCTCGTGCCCTCTCGGAAATTTTAATCCTTCTTCTTCAAGTTTTTTGTGTCTCGTCATCATTCAATGATTGCGGGTTCTCCGTGAAGCTTTACGCTCCAGTCGTGGCGACCGAGATAAACTTTGGCGCTCTATCCCCCTTTTGTTGGGCCCAAACCCCCACGCGCTCATATTACCATCTTGGGCGGCCTTCCGGTGTCAGGAGAAAACCTTATAGAGTAGAAAGGGAATCGAACTAGTTTCGTAATCCATCCCAGACCGGGTTTTGAACATCACTGCAGAAGCCGAAGCCGGCAGAAACTCTGGCTAGGAGAATGTGGACTCTGTGAAGGTTTTTCGGACCGACTTGTGCTCTTCAAAGCATACAGCAATAGGAGGAAAACAATGGGCAAACTAAAAGGAATTGGAGAATTGCGGTGTCAGAGCAGATGGGATACTAGAGAGTCGAGGTGAATAACGGCTCCTCGATTCGACCGGGTGCAAATGGCCTGGACCCTGCCACCTTCTCCGGTTTTTTTCTTTTCCCTCCCCCACATTCGCGAGCCCACCCACTCGGCTCTTTCCCCTCCCACATCCTACGGTCCGTCTGTTCCTGAGACGAGCCGAGTCCGGCGCCTTCAAAGCTCTTGATGCCCCAAATCTAGGCCTTCATGTGACATCAAGGGGCGTTCTAATACTTTGTTCCCTTTCACGCGTGGTGCACGTCTTAAGTCATACAGAATACACGTGGGACCGGGGATTAAGTTGAGCATTGGTCGAGTCTTTGAGTGCCAAAGATGCTGGAGGTTTAGAACTTTTTCTGTGCTGAGTGGGTGCTTCAGGTCATCTCGTGCAATAATCCAGATCCATGAATCCGTCTTGGTCGCCCTGAGGAGGACAATAAGACTGCAGACAGGGTAACACTGTAGCCGGGATACGACGGTGGTGCCGCACGTCGCCGACGACGGTCGATCTATTCTGTGCATTTGAGAGGCTATTTGGCTGTCTAACATGGATCGATAGATCTTTCCTGTTCAATGCTTCAATGAATCAAAACCCTCGAGTTCCACATATTTATATCGGGAGAGAAGAAGGCGATAGTCAGGGATCTAAGAAGCACCCGCGGAAGAAAGGGGGAAAAACGCCACCCTACGCATTACTATGGTGTTTAAATGTTGTTTTTCTTTTCTTTTTCCTTCACCAGCCCTCACTCGTTGCTAGCGTTCGCCCTCGCTCGTCCCTATAGTCGTCAAACAACACCACGCGTCTCTTGGTCAAAATTACCTGAGGCCGACCGCGACATAGTCAGGGGAGCTGTGATCGTTAGTGCATATGCTCGCCAGCTTTCGTGCATTTTCAAGAGAAATTCCACCAAATTTATTGGTCTCGTCCTTCCCCTTTTGCTAACGCCGCCTCGTGAAGCATCACTAGCCTGATTTGAACGCGACTGATCTGTGACCCCTTGCGCCACGGCCCTGATCTCGCCTAAGAATATTTTTTCGTGCGGCTCTCACCTGTGAGCTGAGAATATTGTGCTCCGCTCGCAATTTCCTCGATGCAGGAGCCCTGGTAGGCAACAAGCGCGCTGTGCGGCAAGCCCCCTTGAACTCCCTTGTGATTGCCAAGTCTAGTGCACCCAGCTACCAATACTTCAGAGCTGGCCCAAACATCGTGCTTTTTTGGTCATGGATCGGGGGCCTTTTCGTAATAATGTCAAGTCTTATAAAAGGATGGAAAAGTCCATCAGCCACTCGGATGAAATCGCTGGCTGCTGTTTGAAGACCACCCTCAGTATAGAATCTCAAATAGAGCAGCATCATGCCGTCACCTCTCCGCATCCTCGTGGTGGCGCTGCCTCTCTTCGGAACTGCCCTTGGTAGCCGGTGCAAGCCTTCCAGTTCGCGTCACGCATCGGCGGTGACAGCGGAAACCGCTACATTCGAAACCCCGGACCCTTCTATCCCCACGCTCGTCGTCTCCGAGAGCTCGGAGAGCCATGATTCGGCAACAACCGGCATCGATGACTCGAGCACCCTCGAGACCCCTAGCGAAACCGAGACTCCGTATACTACGTGGATCAGTGAAGACCCTACCGCCAGCAGCGCGGTGATTGATGATGAGCCGTCCGGTAGTAGCATTTCCGACCAAGTCCCTAGCGAGGCTGCAACCTATACCCCCGCACCACTTCAGATGTAGCCTCTGATGACGTTACCACCGATACGGTCGCTGAGACGGCAAGCGAGGACATCGCTACCGAGACAGCGAGTGAGGTTGTCACTACTGAGGCAGCGAACAGCGATACCGCGACTGAGACAGCGAGTGAGGGTGTCACTACTGAGATAGAGAGTGAGGCTACCGCTACCGCCTCGGAGACTACTAGCGAGGACACGACGTTGGCGACCATCACTGCTTCAGACGAAACCACAACCGAAACTGCGGTGCCCGAAGAGACAACGACCGAGGACGATACTAGCCCTTCCACGACAGGTCCTCCCCCATCATTGAGACCTTCGCCGGCGTCGGTATTGCTCCTTCTCAACTCTCTTTGACTGGACTCAAATTCTGGTACCGTCCCCAGGTGATAGGGGCTCCAGCCTACATGGTACCTCCCCCATCTATGGTCAGCAGCTACGTAGCCGGTGACCTCCATCTTGAAGAGGGCACGAATCGCCTCATGACGGGCGCGTACTATCTCTTCACCACGAGTAGCGCCAAAATTGTGTATACTACGAACAATGTCAACTACATTTTTAGTACCCATGCCTACATTTCATGCACTTCGCCCGTGCGTGTGGGCGTGCCGCTGCAGTGTACGGCGGAGAACACGAACCGGAGTCAGTTCCGGATCCCTGGGAGCCTTACGGCGACATTCCGTCCTCTGTCCCTGACGGCGCCGGGTGACGTGGGTAATGAGATCCCAATGGACTTGATCCCGGCGGTTCCAGAGTAGAATCTAGTTTCATTATTATTTACGAAATAGTAAAATTTAATAGATCCATTTTATGAATATAAAAACATTTTGATCTCAGCATGGTTGTGTGCCAATTCCGGGCCAAGGAAGAGCGAAGGCGCTCCTACACTTGCACTCACAATACATTTGGATCCAGTGGCTCCATCTATGGATACTAGATGGATGTGCTGAGGTCTCTAAATCCATTACTCATCGGATACGGAGAGGCACCCTTGAGAATTGTTCATTCATTCCCTTTTGATATGTTAGGAACGGTGCTGGAATATCACGTAGCGTTGTGTTTATCAAAAAGGGTGACGATAAATAATTATGGCTGCAGTCTCGGGTCCTTCGCTCATTCGCCAAGTTTCAATTGTCATTGATCGAGACTGCGGGAAGAAGTGTGGCCGGCCAGTCCCGCCCCGAACAATTGAACGTGGACCCTTGAAGAGTGCGCTCACCAATTATACCCATAGACTCGTGTAAGAGCTAATGGAACATTGACCCGTGCAGTCGCGCAACACCCCGTATTACCCTTTTCCAGCGTTTAGATAACTCGTAAGCGTGTTGCGAGGCCACGCACTTACGAGTTATGCGAACAATAACTGCAACACCATGTTGGCAACGTTGATGATCAATGGGAATAATGTGCAGCCGACTATAAATTGAAGACGAGACCTAGAATACTTGAGATAGAGAATTTCTATAATACTCCAACACTACTTTCCATTCAATCCAATACAAAATCTAATAGTAAACTTCTCCGTTCGCCATGCCCTTCTTCACCAGCCCGGTCGATTCCGCCCGCCTCTTTTATCGGGACTACCGCCCCGACGGCGCCGGGTCGAATGCACGGGCCAGCCCGGCCCCCAAGACGACCCTCGTCTTCCTCCACGGGTGGCCGATGTCCTCCAAAATGTTCGAGCACCTGTTGATCCCCTATGCGAGACGTACAATTTCCGGTGCATTGCCTCCGACCGGCGCGGCTTCGGCTCCAGCCACTGGAACGGGCCCGACACGAAGAAGCCGGTCGACTGGGATACCCTTCTCACCGATGTCATCTCTCTCCTCCAACACTTGGAGATTCAAGACTTTATCTTTGTGGCAGCTAGTATGGGCTGCACGGAAAGCCTTCTCGCTTACCAGTCCAGCAAGTTTATCGAAGAGCGATGCAAGGTAAGGGCAAGAGTGTTCCGGTGGGGAAAATGGGAAGAATGCGCGTCGTTTAGTAACTAACTTCCACTTCACAGGGACTTGTCTGGCTAGGCGCCATCATGCCGTTCCCTCTACAAACTGCAGAACATCCCCTCTCCCCTTCCCTAGAACTTTGGGATTCGATCGTAGGCGGTCTCAGAGACAACCGCGCCGCATTCGTCTCCGAGTCCCTTCCCGGCGTTTTCGCCATTCAAGCCGGAAACGAAATCCACCCCAAGACGCTCGAGCACTTTGAGCGTATCGTCGCAGAGGCGGATAGTCTCGCGGTCGTGAAGACGGTCGAGATCTTCAACCAGCCAGCCGAAGCTGCCGTTAAGAAGCTTGCGGAATCGGCGGTTCAGATTCCGATCCTTGCCATTCATGGTGACGCGGATCAGGGGATGCCGCTTGAGGCGAGCGCACAGATTGTCAAAGAGATGGTTCCATGGGTGGACTTGAAGGTGTATGAGAAGGCTGGTCACGGTACGTTTTCATCATTTGATATCATGCTGCGGCGGTAGTGAGCGCGAAGCAAAGCTAATACTTTCTTTTTTGTTGTTTTTCCCCGCTGGCTAGGTCTTTATCTAACGCACTCGGGCCAATTAATGGAAGATCTTGTGTCCTTTTTCCGACAGGTCGAGAACGCATAGCCCAATCTTGCGAAAGGAAAGTGCCTGCATGAGCTCTTGGAGGTCTCGAGAGGTATAAGACAACAGAGATGTATTCAAGCGGGTCTAATAAAGTCATACTTCCATGACCATCACGAGAATGAAAGGCAGGCGGGGGACTCTGCCAACGGCCTTTTTCGCAGTTTACGCGCTTACCCGTAGCTTAGCGTCAACTTTTGGGCGAATTTCCCGTCCTTCTCACAAAGTTGAGGCTATGGCAGCTGCACAGCCAGGAAGATGGGAACCACCCTCGTGACCGGAGTTGGAGTTGGGTCTAGAACTCTATGTCTCGAGGCAGAACCGGAGCAGGAATTGGTTGGAATCGCCCTATTTGGGACGCGCGAGCGAAGAAATTCTTTAGTCGGACTAACAAAGTTCTCGTCATATCTGACCCTCCCGCAAGCCTTACCGGAAAGGAGAAGGCCTCAATAAGGGAAAAGACCCAAAAAAAAAAAAGGGGGGCAACCCTCGTGTCTAACTTACCGGGGTTGAAAGGAGTATTATAGTGGGTTAGAGAGAATAATATTTAACTTTTTTACTTTCTTCTTTCTTCCAATGTTCTCTGTCGCCTGTGTGTCTTGCGTTTTAGGGTCAAGATTTTGGGAAAGCAACATCTATACCTTTTCAGATTTCGGAATCAACTTACTCCGGCGTTAACGGCTCAAGCCCGAAAGTAACACAAAGCCACACACACACACGCACGCACACACATATATATACACGCATAGCCTAGCAAGGTTCAATTATCAAGAAAAGAAGAAACCTATTCATTGTTTTTGGGTGGAGATACTGTAGAACCGGGATTACTACATCATGAAGCCGTCATCCAGCAGAGCCAAGGGGGCCTTGCACAGAAGAGGGGGTAAGCCAGCCACCCCAGAAATACATGATGAGAGTGGCACCTCGCTTCGGCCGTACCCGTTCCGGCCCCGGTATTTCGGGGCCGTTGTCTCAGCGAAAGAATACCTGCGGTTGCGCGTTGGAACCCCTCAATGTTGATCTAGCTGAAGAGAAAAAAAAGGATAGGAAAGAAACCGAAGGTAAGCCTTCATTCGTTCTCCAAGACTCTGGCCACCGAATGATGAGAGTCTCGCCATCGGACTGGTTGTTCCGGCTTCTTCTTAACGTTCTCGTCGAGCCAGCTATCAACTCCGTCCGTCCGCTGAGCACACCCGTTCCCAACTGCCCGGTCGGTGACTCGGTAGAGCGACTCGGTGCTATTCCCAATGTTGTATTACCGCCCGGGCTTCGGTCCAGAATCAGCGCCCGATATACCCACAACATACACTATCACCGCTGGACTCGGGGCCTCCTCGGTTCGAAACCAATGAGACTGGCCTGGATCCCACTTTATCGTAGAGTTCTAAGAATTGAAAGGCGTACATTCTCGAATAAAGCACCTTCGCTTACAAAAGGTTGATAGGACTCCACGATTTCGCTTCTTTATGTTTCTGCGTTCTCTTGGCCCGTTTCCCCACCCGACACTCCAAGATGTCAATCTGTCCCACCGGATCCTCGGGTCTCTAGACAGCCGGTCTCTGTCAGAAAGTTTACCCAAACCATAATCACCCACTGGCCCCATATCCCTGCCTCCCTTCTCTTTTCCTCCTCGTTATTGAGGGTATTCCACCTAGTTAGTGCGGATGTGCATAGAATGATGAACGCAATGGAGCCTCACAGATCCCCGGGACCATTATACACTCTGGTCGCCTGCCACTCTTTCTCCTCCCGCACTCCCCTGTTAGAGTTTTACAATAGGGGAGCTATCAACTTGCAACGTTAGTGAATACCTGCCTATCTACCTCGGGTAGGTAGGTAGCTCCTACCCCCCAGTTTGGTATGCGGACTCATAGTCGAGGATCAACGCAGTCATGCTCCACATCAACCACGAGGCGATTTCTCTTCTCCCATGGGCCCTCCCCGCCCTCATTTTTCTTTCTTCCTTTCACGTGGGTCTATGGCGTCAAGAAACGCTTGCGGTTATTTACCACGCGCCGTAAAAGCATCAAGCCATGCCCCCAACTTACATAAAGGCGGAGGAGGCAGTGTGTTGATGATGATATGATATCCATCCGCCGCGCTGGTTGGGTTATTCGGGGAGAAGCAAGAGGCCAAGAGTGGAAAGCAAATAAACATAAGAAACCGCAACGCTGACGAATGAAATGGAAAACAAGATGTAGAAGGTGGCTTTCGTATCAGATTATCGTAACCGCCGCACTCTGTCTGATACTCGGGGTGCCAAGACCAAGAAAAGCCCTTTGCACTATCCGCCCCTAAACTTTCTCGCAGCGAAACCGACACCCGCCCTTGTGTTTCTTGGCATACATCGCTCGTGCAGCAGGATGAGACGCCTGAAGCAGAGGTAGTTGAAAGGCTGTGACCTCTGCTACTGCTCCATCTTGGCGCTTGCATGGCAGTTGACTGTTCCAATATTATGCGAGAGGCCCGGCTCAGCTTGAAAGAGCTGCAACCACTGCTTCCTACCTGGCGGTCTTTTTCAACATGTGGCGAGAGACTACTAGATCAGCTCCTCGCTCTGAGAGGCCACTACATGAGGTGAGCGGTTAAATTGGCTTGAAAGGAGACGAATGAAATCGAGGTATTGTTGGGCTAATATGGCCGGGGAGGCTTAGACTGCAGCATTGAAGTTTCTCATATTATTTTCAAAACTGCGAGACCGAGATGCTGCTTGTGGGTGATCATGAAGAGGTCCACTGGCCAAGGATTGGCAGACTGGGTGTGGATGGAATGATAAAACGATCGACAAACCAGCCCGAACTGGCCAACGGAAGCGGCAATAGGCAAGATGGGTGGTGGGAACCCGAAAACTACACCTCTTGATGTGTTTGCTACCTAGAGTGCCCCCTGCATCGACCTGGATTGAGGCGACATTGAAGGTTCGGGTCCGTCACTTGAGTCAGATGCGCGAGAAGGCTTGGATGAGCTCCACCCAGAAACCCGGTTGCAAAGAGAGGGAGAGTCTGGTTCCTTTTTCTTTTCTGGTGCCGGAGATTAGAATACCAATCGAGCTGTCTAGGAGGAGCTAAAGTAGGGGAGAAAGCAAGAAAAAAAGAAAAAAAGACGAGGTCCTGTCAGCCTAGTTCATTTTGACATCCTGGGGACCACCGCTCAAGGGTGGAGAGGTGGGGGTGCGAGAAGTCCGAGGTTCGAGGCCCATCTAATATTGACTCGCCCGCAGCTCGACCTGTCTGCGTTGCTTTCAATATTTGGGGGAAAGCAGGGGAGAACTTAACTTCTGAAAAGGGGTAGGATAGAGTTTGGACTAAATGTCAACCCAGCGAGACGCGTAATTTCCTCCCTGTCTGCTGGCCATTCTCCCTCTTTCCTGGCGTAGAGAAAGTTCCTTTTATCCTTTTTCTTTTTTCTTCTCCTTTTCAGCGATGATCCATGCATCTACTACCAATGGCATCCTGCATCCTGCATCTTTCTTCCCCTCTCAATGGATGCGAGTTGAATTGTCCGACCTCAAAATGTTGTCATGCTCATCGTGATGTTGTGCGCATCTGGTCTTCACCGCAGTCATCCAGTTCTCCGTGATTTCTATAGGGTACAGCCAGGAAAAGTACTGGCGGTACCAGCCAAAGTAGACGGCCTTTCCCTTCTGTAATATGATGGATGTCACTTTATCCGCAAAGAGGTCCTATTAGCAGGTTAACGTTTAGAAACGGGGTTCTTCAGTCCATAGTATGTGTTGTTGACTGGTGTGTCTGGCCTCCTCGGACAGATGAAACTTTTCAGAATAGTTGCAGCACATAACAATTGATTGATGCCAGAATGAAGGCAGGCCAGAACTAACCTTGCCAACCTGAACATTTGAAGTGCCGCTGACAGGGCGCAACCGTGAACGGCCGGCTACCACGCGCGCCACCTCGTTTTCGGGCTCCCTTGTCGTGCCTCTACACTAGATAGAGTTTGAGATGGACCCACCGACTAAACCAAATTTGGGAGTTTTTACTTCGTAATAGCCTAAAGTATCCGGGATAGGCACATGGCCCTGCTAGCGTAAACTCTATTTCTGGGCCCTGGCGAGGAAGGGGGCCACGGGGAAGGGAAAGAGAGAACCAGCAAAGAAGAAGAAAAGAAAAGAAAAAAGTGAAGGCACGACTATTGTCGAATCTTCTCCTCCAGCGATAAGGAACCTCACTGTCCAAGATCTCAGTCACATCAGCATTATCCATGGTTGACTGCTCACGGTTTCGAAGAACGAGGTAAAACGTTAATTGCCCCGGTGCCTCGTGGGATGGTGTCCCCAAGGTCAAATGGGATATTTGCCTCTTTGTTGCCAGCCAGCGTCATCAAAGTCAGAAGTGGGGAGTGCCCTAAGCATTCCAGAAAGCCGCTAGAAGCATCCATTAAACGAGAGTTTCTCGCACATTCATCGCTTGCCGAGAGTACACCAGGGTCAACTAATGTACTCTCTGAAACCGAGGGCGCCTACCTTTCGCCCGCCAGAGATCAACAAAATGAATTTCTGGCCCCTACACTCCGCAGAAAGCACAGGCTTACCGAGTACTTGGGATCGTCTTGATAGGCAGATCCAGGCACTGAGGTTGTGGCTGCCGACTTGGCAAGGATCCATACTTCGAACGGGGTTGTGCTGCACGCAAGAGCCAATACGGAAACTCTTTTTGGAGCTAGAAGAATCTTGACGAAATCGAACATTAGCCTCTAGATCCTCCCTCGCCAGTATACTCTCATCGAGAAGGTCCTCTAGTCACCTCCATCAACAGAAGTCCGAAGACCCGCTGAATAAAATCAAGGTGAAGCCGAAGGGCGCCTCAGGCGGTTTCAAGCATCACTCACCTCACAACTGAATGGTGGCGCTGGTAAAAACTCTTCTTACAACTCTTTCTCTTCTTGCTTCGCCAAGCATTCAACAGAGTTCAACCACCACCGACAAGTTTTCGGGGTCGGCGCGGGGGTGGTGGTCATCCATGACTTTCTTCTCAAGAGCACTGAACAAGTCCCTATAACCCACTCATCTGTGGGGCTTGCTGTCAAAGTCACGATGCTGGCTCCGCAAAGGCGACCACAGGCAGCGCTCCGCAAACCAAGCCGATTTGATCAATGCCTGCAAAGGTAAGTCGGATGAACACGCTCGCATTTTCCACCTTCTCCTCACTCGGCAATAGAATGTCCTTCCCAAAAGCTTTGGCGTTTGTGGGGCCTAATGCGTTGGCAATCCCGCCAAGCCTGAGGAAACCTGGAAGGCGAGAGGGAGAAGATGTATTAAACTAAAAGGATAGGGAAAGGGTTGGAAGGAGGCGACTGACGGAGGAGTTTGCGTGAGCTCGACTGGGTGCTTTCCTAGAAAACGAGGTCGCGAACAGCAAACGATTGACCCCGGTCAGATATCCACCCGTAATTAAACTCTATTTTGCCAAGGCCGACCAGGATTTTGGGACGCTTTCCACCAGACCCCTCACTGATCAGACCAAAAACCCCTCTCGCCAGGGCCTTGTGCGGTCAATCACTTATAGTCTCCATTTGTCAGTTCGGAGAATTCGGGGAGCCGGTGGCATGTTACACCTCAAAGGGATTGTCGGCAGGAGGGGTTGGAACTGCCAAGACAGAATCCCACTAAAGTGACATCAGTCGCACAGACTGATCTTGAAGCAAAGCTTCTACTGAAACGGAGGAATGAGCGTTGAGACTTCCTTCCTCTAAAGCTTGTTGAGGCAGTCCGACCCCATCGATCCAATCCCCTCACCTCCCCATTCTTTAGTCTACTCTCTCGTGCCTTCTACAGCGCGTAGCTTAGATCAGAGTGCCACAGCGCATCCTTATCCGACGCATTCTCTTAGGAGCTGCTATGCATTGCCAACCCTTGATCCCGATGTCAACTGTTTGTTGGGTTTCGCAACATCTGATATCAATTGATGTTCGCTTCCGGGCCAGCAATTGCTGCTTGTTGCTTGCTTGCTTCAAGAGGTCATATCTCGGCTCCCCACTCCCCACTCCCCACTATAACCAGTTGGCTGGCCATGTGGTGAATCACGCTAATGGGGTGCTCGAGTCAAGGCCAAACCCAGGAGTAAACCTTGACAGCGCACGAGATGCGTGTGCCCAGCGCTTTCGTCCTCTTGACGAAACCCCCTCCCCTTGAGAGTTACACCCACATACCGGGCTTCCTGGACGCCGGATTGTCGGAGGTGTGTGCGAGAATATTCCGATACACGGCCGCTAAGCGGCTCGAGTGGGGATGTAGCCTGGATTTGTTCGAATGCTTCCAAATCGCAGACAGAACCCGAGGCTGGCGCCATCAAGTACCTGGCGCTGTGGATTGCAAGCCCTGAAGGAACAGGCAGGGTATCCGCTCAGAGTAAACTCTATCCGCAAAGTCACGGAATGCCCTTGCTCCCTCCCACTTTCGCCTGGGCCCGGTATTTTGGCTTTCTCTCAGGCCCCTGTGGGGGCACTTGGGCGGTTCAGGCCAGCCTTTCTAAACTCTCTCAACGGGGTCTGAGACTTTTCGACTCATTCCCGTGCCATATGCTCCCCGTACGAATGAATCCCTTGCCCATCGCCGCCCTCTCCCTCAGGGCTCGAAAGATCCATAGCGTTCACGCCACGACTAGATCGAAAGCAGCCAGGTTTCCGCAGTCAGATCCCTCCCCTTGGATTCCCATGAGTAATATCACCGGCGCGATTACTTTTTTCTTTGGGTTATAAAGAACCCCTTGATCCCCCTTTTTTAGTTGTCAAGAACCTGTTCGATCAAAGACTTCTGGAAGGAAACCCGATCTCAATCCTCCCCCGAACGACTCAACTCTTGTCCTCTACACGAGAAATCCAGAGCCAACGAACGATAGTTGACTTGCTCCGCACCCCCAGAAAAGAGAACGTTGATCTCCTGCACTCATCCTTGCCAGGTCAATCCGGTTCTGGCCGTGCGTCACCGCGAAAGTCAATATCCTTGCTCATTTCTTTTTTCATTTTATTTTTATCCACCAAGTCTTAGTGACTGGCGCTGCATAGTAGCCCACACCTGCAGCAGACCCACGATAACCCTGCAAGAAATTATCAACCAAACGCGCCCCTAGGCCTGTTCCGGCCTTCTTTCTCCATTCGCGAACCCAATCTTTTCGTTCCCCGTGGACGAGGAAGAAGACATCACTCTTTTGGGAAACCAAGGCATCTGCTCTTCCTGCAGACACTCCAGTCCCAAGCTTAGCCCATCTTGCATATATCACCACCACGGTGGCCAGCACAACCCCGCGCTACTCACCTCATCTCCCTCCTTTCACAATGCTTTCTGTCTCTAGCAACCACCAACAACCTCTACCACACCATTCTCTCCCTCTTAAACACCATCAGACCGAGAGGCGATCAGATTTGGCAATGCCTTTCCTCTACAGCATGAGCGGCTCCTCCCACTCTCCCACACACCACCGCCAAAGGAGCGACCTGACTTGTTCGCCAGCCCCGTCGCGACCAGCGGTCCCCACCAAGTCTTCCAGCGTCGATCCTGTCGTATCCCAGGCGCTCGAAATCGCCCGAGAGTCCCCAGATGGCGCCTCCGACCCCACGATAAGCAACATTCTTGAGAACGCGCTTAATCAAATCTGGGCCAAGGTTCAAGCCGCCCCCGACTCGTACATCATGTCTCGGGATGAGTTTTCGCTCTTCAACTTCTACCAGCACCGCTTCGTTGGTGACAAGCTCGCCATCGCCGCGCGGAGGAGATACTGGGACAACGCTAGCGCTTGAGCGCACTCTGAAGTGTGATGGATGCCATCTTTGATTCCTTTCGGCTATCCTTCGTTATTCTTGTTCAAAATATTCTTGTAACTACTGTTCTTCCGAGGGCCGGGCGATGTTATTTTTGATACCGGATTGATACCCTTTACTCACGGGTCCCGCCCTCGGCCCCTTATTCTGTTGTTCTATTGGCGAGAGGGACACGCATACTTTGTGCTCTCAATGCAATCACTCAAAGCCCACTAGACAGCCCTGTATTATATAGACGATGTAGCCGGGTGCGACTTGGCTGTTATATGTACATGTATTATTATCGCTTCTTCATCTTATCAATTTCTCAGCACCCCAACAGGGTTCATATTTGACTGTGTCCGCTCCTTTGGCACCCTCATGTGCCCTATGGCCTAACTAGTTTGTGATTCAATGGAGAAGAATATAAGAGAAATTGAGTGCAAAAGATTTTTTCCTCTCGAAGTGGATGATATTGGAGTTTGCTTAATGCTGAAGATGCTTGTTTGCCTTCAATTCCCTTTCTTCATGTACATGATCATCTCTGATTGCCGATCCTGGTCGTGGGGTTGTAGTATTAAACCGGAACCCCCCAGTCGACCCTGACGTGAGATGGTCGAGTATGTGGAGAATGAACTCAGCCAACAGCACATAAATTAAAAATGAAAGAAAGAAAAGAAAAAGAAAAGAAGAAAAAAAAAGATCTCACTAGGGAAGGAGGATCCGTGCCACAAAATAGGGAAATCCGGACCATTCTCCAAGGGCTATATAGTGAATCTGCCGGCAATCTGGGAGATGCCAATTTACCCCGAAATCAGCTTCCTGGGGGAAGAGGAGGCGGGGCGGGGAGACCGCTGCCGTATACCCAGATTCCAGCACCCCAAGACACGACGACGGGCACGGTAGCTGTTCGCTTTTCGTTGCCCTTCCAATCTACCGAGATGGGGGCCACTCTACGCGGCAGGCTGCGCGCGCGCGGGGGAATCAAGCTCAATTCTCCGCGAGGGTTTTGACATGCCGTGACGCGGACGTGCATGGCGAAAGGAAGCGGGAGCGGTTAGGAAGGAAAGCGGAGAGAGAGAGAGAGAGTGAGTGAGTGAGGGAAAGGGGATGGAGAAGTGGTCGTAAGGGCCTTTTCTTCTCCATTCTCCTTCCTTTCTCTACTTTTCCGGCACTCATTCGGGGAATTTTCAGTTCGTTTGGGCCGTTGTTCTCTCTTTGGCCCGCTCTCATTCTCTTGTTATCTCTCTCTCCCTCTCTAGCATTGATTCCACCTTCCTTGGTGCCTCTTTCCTTGGGTACTCTTTCGAACGCGTCATCACCTGCTTACTCCCAAGAGTAGACAAAGTCGACTTTGAGAGCTTGCTAAGAGAGGAGGTCGAGTTTCTCTATTATTTTCGCGACCAACTCACCTCTTGGAGAAAAGGAGGAAAGATTGCCGGGAAGAAGGAAAGCTAAGGGGCTACACAAAGAATGGGGTTCTTGCGATGCGGCTTAGTAGCCGCCGTCGCTACGCTGGTGGCATCGGCCTTGGCATCCCCCACCGGAGAACTCGCGTCCAGGCAGGAGGGGACGGGTGTGGGATTCACCTACTCGTTCCCGGAATACCGCGAGGTTTTCCAAGTTGCGCCACCTGTTCTGGGGCCGGAGGGTCCGCTGGATTCGTGGGGCAGAGATAGGGTCAAGGTTCAGGAACCGATACAGAAGCGGCAGGAAACGGGGGCTTGCAAGATGCTGCTCATGGAGCATACATTCGCGTCTAGCTATGAGAAGCCCTTTATCGGTAAGCCATTTTTTCGTCTCTGGTCGGTCGGGCAGGATATGGGGGCACGCGCGCGCGATATCTTTGAGGAACTGAGAGTGAGGGGGAACTGCTGACACGATGGCGTCAACAGGCAACTATACCCCACCCGACTGCGAGTTCAATCGTGTGCTTTTGAACTTTACGGCAACTGTCCAGCCAGGTGTCCAATACGATCGCCTAGCCATCATGTATCTAGGTGATACGGAGATATGGCGAACGTCGACGGCCGAACCGCTCAGGGAGCGTGGCGGCGCGATCTGGACCTACTGGAAAGACGTGACGCCGTTCATGTACTTTTGGAAGCAGCCGCAAAAGATCATTTTCGACCTGGGCAACATTGTGGATGAGCAGTACACTTCGCCCTTTAACACGACACTGACGGCTACCTTTTTCGTGGCCGACGAAGACAGTGTAGGGACGACGGTCGCAGCCGGAGCCGAGAAGTGGGGACCAGCGGACCGCATCATCCCCGTGTCCGCGCGCAAAAGTGCCACGGACCAAGTCAGCGCCTGGAGGTTCCCCGAGGACGAAGCCAAGGACACGCTCACAGCCTTTCCCGCAACGCGCGCCGCGCCGTGTTTAGCGTCTCGGCCAACGGCCAAGCCGAGGAGGAGTTTTGGTGGATGGGCGTCCCGCAGAGCAAGGTCGACAGCTTCGACCCCGGCACTGTCAGCGGGCTGGACGCGTGGCGTGAGGTGCAGGTCTTCATCGACGACCACCTCGTCGGGGTTTCGTGGCCGTACCCGGTGCTCTTCACCGGGGCGATGAGTCCGATGATGCACCGTCCCATAGTCGGCTTGAACACCTTTGACTTGAAGGAGCAGGAAATCGACATTACCCCGTGGCTCCCGCTGCTGTGTGACGGGGAGGACCACACCGTCTCTCTGCGGGTCGTGTGCCTCGACGATACCGCTGCTGGGGGCCCCGCCATCGTGCCGACGCCCAGCAACTGGGTTCTGACGGGCAAGGTTTTCGTGTGGCTCGACGAGGACGAGGCGTCGGTGACAACGGGGATATGCCCAAAGTGGTCGACGCCGACCCGAGCAAGGTCCAGTTCGACCCCAGCGGCGGAGATATCCAATCGAATCCCTTTGTCTCGGAGACTAGCATGATCTACAGCCTCCTCGCCCACCGCGGCTTCGTGGTCGAGGGCAAGATCGTCACGCAGGCGGGAGAGAAGGAGGTCTCGTGGGCGCAGTCTCTCAACTTCACGACCAACCTCGAGTTTTCGACGAGCCTGAACCCGCGGGGAGGGCAACTTGAACAGACTACCGTGATGGCGATTGAGGGCGCCGAGAGCGCTTCGGGCATGGCCGAGTACCGCTCCGAGTATAGCTACCCGTTCAAGGGCATGGCCGCTTTGAGGACTTGGCAAGGTCGGGATGCTGAGAGGCCTTGGCAGGGAGTTTATGTGGTCCTTCCGAACTATCTCTTTGTGCAAGTTGTGGACCAGAAAATCGAGGGCTCTCCCGTCTTCCCCTCCGGCGTCGAAGCCTACAACGGAACGTATGGGGCGTCGCACCTCTTTACTACCCGCGAGAGCTTCCACAATGAGATGCTCACTGAGAGGGGGAGTATTTCTCATATCCTATACGGATCAAACGTTGGACTTCTCTGGGGTAAATTCAGAGCAGGTCGTGCCTTTGTACAGTAGGCTGGTGTCGAGCGATCTAGACGATGTCTTCCTGGATGTTGAGACCTCTGCGGGTACTACTACCGAGTTCACGCACCCCGTCACCTCGGAGGAGGGGATCATGGCCAGCCAAGTAGAGGGACATAGGATGATGCCAGCCCAGGCCTTTAGTGCGGCACCGGGCCGACTGCCCTTGGCTGGTGTGCTGGCATCGGTCAACTTGGCTATCGAGAATGAAGGCGTAGGGGGTCGGAGACAATCAGAGCCACGCGGTTCGCGGTATAGAGCCTCAATGGATGCGCATGTGAGGTTGGGGAGGGGATAGAGAGATGGAATAGTGGGTGTCGGTCGTGTGCTTGATACTGATTACATGAGCATAAAGGGGCACAGTTTATAGGCAATGGTCTTTGACGACCTTTAGCGATGGTACCACGGACATATTTTCAAACTTTCCAATTCTCCGACTTGCTGTGATTCCATCGAGTGTGAGTTGTCTAAACAAATGGACTCCAGGCCAGGGCTTCAGGACTACCTGCAAAATCGACTGTATTATTGCACGCCGGTCGGGGGCTTTCACATGTCCAGGCCCGGCACAATGAAGACAAGCCCCATACCATGCTCTTTCCCTTTCTAAAAATGATACGATAAAGGCGTCGGGAAAGAGCGTGTCAGGGAAGAGTGTGACGGCCAAAAGGGCCGGCCCTGACTAGACATGAGGAGATCTCTACAAAGTGGGTGGTGCCAGTCGTAACATTTCCGTTATCCGTTCGCCTCGTTACCTTTTGTCATGCACGTGGGAGGAAGTGGGTGAGCTTCATCATCAACTAGTTTAGCAAATAGGAAGCATCTGAGCTTATTACCTTGCCTGCCCACCCACGTTTATCGGCCAAGTCAAGTTCTTCATTGCAGTGATAGTAGGGACGAAGGAGCATGTGCTTTCCATGGTGTAGCTGGTAACCTTGCAATTCTCGCGCTGGGGAAAGAACGGAGTTGCTTTCTTTGGGGGAGCTTCTGAAGCCGAGGTGAAAGCAAGTCTAGGTCAAGCGAAGTAAGCGTTCACTTACACCCGGAGCGCTAAACCGAAGAGTCCGTTTGAAGAAAGAAAAACAACGGCACCCAAGTCACCGAGGAAGAAGACAAGGCTCGCCAAGGATGGATACCCGTGACAAACGTCATGAACGGGAATGACGAAAGTGGCTGAGGGAGCCGGAGCTCTCGGCAATGATGCATCTGCTACCGAAGCACAAGCTACGAGCCGACAGAGAAAGGGGGGCAGCCAAACCCGCTAGATGGAGAGCTAGCGGATTAGGTTAATGGGCAGCCTTTGGGAGCCAAGCTCGAAAGAACACCAACCGGTCTCCCACTGGGCACTGGTGAACTGATGAAGGGGCTTTCGCGGGAATGTTGAGTCTGCGCCTGGTTAGTTATTTAACCCTTTTGGGCTGAAGAAGAGGTGGTTGTGGCGTCATGGGGCATGTGCCCAGACATGTCGGATGCTCCCGTGGCGAATCCAAGTCCCATTATCCTCCCTGCTTCTTTACCGAAAGCGGAGCGCTTTTTGATAGTTTCTTTTCTTTCTTTTTGTCTCTTTTTTTTTTTTCATATAATCGTAGAAAAAGAAAAAACCACTCAGCTGCTAGGCTCGGGGTCGGGAAAGTGACGACTGATGGATCCATCCATCGTCCAAATCCAGTTCGCGTGTGTCTTAGTAGTAGGTTCCGTCGGGGAATTTGTAGCCGAACTCTGTTTTTCTATTAGCGCCGTCCCGCATCAAGAATGATGGTTCCGGGTCCCGGGCGGCTTGCTTGCCCATTCAATTACAAAGATTCTCTCATGTTGCAAAGGACCCGGCCGGGTAGGATTGCCGAGTGACGTGCATGATTAGGCAATCGAACCCGCCCAGAAGCGTGAATGGGAAGGGAAAAGGGACAAGAAAAAAGGAAACGGTGCGCATCACAGACACGCAATCCAGCGCTCAATCCAGGGGGAAGAAAACGTCCCATAGACGTATCATGAGTTGTTTCGCCGGTTTGCACTGTCTCGAGCTATGTTGGTTTCTTACCGGCGAGTTATCACCCATTGGCGCTGGGAATCAGGACGAGGCAGCACGTTTTGGGGGAGGGGCTGAGGTAATCCTCGGGACTTCAATCAAGCGAGCTCTAAGCCAACCATTCTCGCTAAAGCGACAACCTGCGAAACGTGCTCTGGAAACACGGCGTTTCGCCCAAAGGCGTGGTAAAGATCCACACAGGTCAAGACCTCTACTTTCTCTATTTCTATTCTTCTTCTATTCTTAGGACCAGTAGAACAAAAAAGGGTCATCAACAGGCCCCCGATTGTATGCACGTCAGTCGAGGTGCGCATTTGATCGAGTGGGTGAGAGATGCGGCGGCTATCAGAAACTCGGAAAAACGGCTGATGCTGGCAAAGCACTAGGGTCCAGTCAATCTCTCGGAAGATTCCGACTCGGAAACGGGTGGGATGACTTCGCGGCGCTGGGGCAAGGCATGAGAGGCACCGAGGGATGGCCCAATCGAGTACAAAGGAATCTCGCCTGCGACCCGGAGAATTTTTACTAAAGAAAGGGCCCCTGCAGCTGCGTGTTGTAAGAGAAGTGAGAGAAGGTGGGAAAGTCCCGAATGTATCGCGCCGCCAGACGGATTGAACCTGCAGGAATGGTCCCCAGACCATTGAAGCATGTGCTGCTGCGGTCTGAAGAGCTTGCAGGATCCGGTTTTCCTTAGGGCTACCAGGGCCACCATCAGTGGGCTTGGCGCCGAGTCTGTTATTCTAATCGTATCAAGGGATCTGCCCAGAAAAATAGATGTTTTCTGTTCCAGGATGTTGCTTCGCCTGATGGGCCGTCGCCTTCCGGAATTCTTGGCGTGGCGAGGAGGGTCTCCTCGACTCGCAGTATTAGATAGATCCAATGCATGTCTGACATTGAACGTACCGAGAAAGACCTGCCCTTGATTTACATGTATGGCTAGGAAATCTAATTCAGTCGCATGCCAATATGGGATTCAAAACGGAGCAGCATGACCTGTAGCTTATTCACTGACCAAGACAAGGGAAACAGTTGGAGGGGGTTTTTGCACAAGTATCACGAACAAGCTCTTCATCATCAGGGGCGGCGGAGATGAACAACACGCGTCCAGTGGCGGCTCATCAGGGAAAAATCCATGGTCGTTAGATTAGGTGTGCGAGTGAGCCCACAGCCCCTCCTCTAACCAAGCTCAACTCGTTTCGCGCTGGCCGTGCCGGAGGAGCCGCGACGCAACAGACACAATTAAAAAAATCATTCAAAGTATTTCTGCGCTTGTCTCAGTCGGCGCGCAAAAAGCTCTGGGAAGCGGTGATATCATCGATCTGCCGATATGTACAATATGTACAGGTACCTGGAAAGCTCCCGTCAACCTATGAGAGCTGCCCCTCGTTACCCCACCACCAGCTGATCACCGGGGCAAATCGCAGCGTCGCATTGGCGAGACGACGTCAACGTAACACACGTTTGGTCCACTGAGCAACCGCATGCGGCAACGATTGACTGGCGAGACGACAGTCGGTCCTTCCAGCGCGACAAAGAGCGTCGTCGTTGGGTCAATCGGCGCCGCATGTACCGATACCTTGAGACTGTCTGTCCTATTAGTCCCAATTCTGTTTCTTTTTCCTTTTTCTTTCTTTTTCTTTTCTTGGCCCCTTGGCTTCACGTTTCCCAGCTCCCATATCGCCAGACCATCGTTTTGAGTTCTGGTCAAACTTCCGTCACTCGCCCGCTAAAAAGTCACTAGACAATCAACGAGACCAACAAAGAGAAGAAAAGAGAAAACAGGCATACGGAGGCGACCCTCCTGAAAAGAAAAGAAGAAAAAAGGTACTTGGTTGGGAAACAACTTATATTTGATCTCGGGGCAATCCTGAGATATACCCTCCCGTTCGTCACCCTGCTCCCCATCTTCCTTCTCCCGTCTTTGTGTGGGCGCATAGCAACAGGACGTTTTTGACTGACCACACATTTGTCAACCTGTTCGACATCTTCCCAAGACAATAATAATACTCCACCCCCACTCACTCCATCTTTTTCTCAACCTTGCTTTCCGCGAAGCTGTTACACCTCTCAACCTCTGTGTTTACAAAACCACGAGCTTGACAGCTTCTACATCCTCATCACCACAACCCAATACACCAACCCTCGCAGAGCTTCTACCTACCTGTTTTAGCGGATATCCCATTTCCGTACCGCATCTTCCTCGACCACTCTCATCCAACATACAAACTTGTGGCCAAAAGCGCTACTCACAATGGAATTCAGCCTCGTGAACCTGGTCCTTCGGGGCCTCCAGTTCCTCTGGTGTCTCCTGCTCGTCGCCCTGCTCGGCAACGTCATCGCCAACGAGATCAACGCCTCCAGCTCCGCCAACGCCGCCATAAATTTCTCCATGTTTGTCGCCATCCTGGCCTGGATTGCCACCATTTACGGCTTCCTCACCGTCTTCGTCCCCGCCGTCCAGGTGTACATTGCCCAGCTCGTGCTCGACGGCCTCGCCACCCTCTTTGTCTTTATCGACGCCATCGTCCTCGCCGCCAAGATCCGCGCCGTCAACTGCTCGAACCTCAACGCCGACAAGCTGCCTAGGAATTACATTGCTTGGGGTTCCGCCAACGACGAGAAGAGGTGCCGCGAGATTCAGGCGAGTACTGCGTTCATGTGGTTCCTCTTTGCCTGCTTCGCCGCCTCCCTCTTCTTCACCTGGAAGGATGGCAGGAGGGGAGGCCTCGGCGGTGGCTCCTTCGTGTCCTCGAGGCCTAGCATGGCTCAGGTCGGCGTCTAAGAGTCTATCCCTTTTCCTCGATATGTACAAAACCCCTTTTACACGCAGTTGGGAAAAGGGGGCAGGGGAGGAAGAAAGAACGAAGAAGAAAAAAGAAAGGAAAATGATCAACCGACTTGGACCTCTTTTTCCTATTTTGTTCCCGCTTAGTACGACTCGATTGACTCGAGTCGACTCGAACGAGACTGGTTTTGGCCAGACATGTCATTCTATTCACAAAATGACAGGTATGAGTTTAAGAGACCGTGCCAGGGTAGTTGTCTCAAGCTGAGACAGGGCACGCACGACTTCACGCGCGCGCGGGCGGGATATTTTTCAAAAAGACCCCAGGGGAGGCTGGCGTCTTTCGGTAATAATGGTGTTGGGACTTTGGGTTTTCATCTTTGTGTACTTTTTCTGTCTTTCTCTCCCGGTTGGCCATTGCCATTGTTGTGTTCCATATCTCCGGGACTTTGCTCTCATCTGGTAGTTATAATGATTCGGTTCTTCTACCTTGCAACGCTGCGCTCCATCGATTCGTGAACATGTTAGTGAGTACAGATGACCGTGGAGCCGCTTCTAGTAGGCACCGTGAGGTGAGTAGGGGTCGGGAGGAGGGTGAGTCCGGGCCCTCTAATACCGCTCGCTTGATAAAAGTCCTTGCTTACGAGAGAATTGTGCAAGCCGCGGTGTAGAGTGCACGATTTGTTGCCATATCGTAATGACACCGGCAGACTTTGGCCAGGTGTGTTTGTTGAGAATTTAGTAAGATACAGAACGGTGATTGTGTCGCGGGCTGCTGCTCTGTAGAAATGTGAATATACTGGATGGGTTCATGAATCTACATGTAGCCAGCAGTGGCGCTAAGCAAGTACATCTAGTATGGTCTTGTTTCCGCTCGGCGCGGCAACAGCAAACACAGCCGACGTTAATCATTATTTTCCTTTATCTGTCTCATAACAGTTGATCCCTTGACAGTGAATCGCCTTGTTCGCACCCGTGCAGACGTCGTGTTTGTCATCACGGGTTTGTTTTGTTTTCCCTTATGCAGGTGACTGGAAACCCTTGTGCAGCGGAAGTTGGCGCCTCAATGTCCCCGAGTCAGCCCCCGGCGTTCTCACCTCCGGCAAAGGCCGGGCCCCGCCACCGCCCGTAAACTGTGGCCGGGAAGCCGGGTTCCCGGATCCTGGTTGGGCGTATGGAGTCTCGGCGGCCGGCTCGGGACCATATCCGGAAGAGACCAGGAGAGGAGGTTTATAAGAGAAATCAAATACAAACAAAATGTAAAAAGAAAGAAGAAAAAAAGAGGAGGGGAAGAAGGAGAAAGTCAGCAAAGAAGGGAGGGAAACTTGCGTCAGCTTCCCGCTCTCCCTTATATGCCGAGCGGAGATCTTAATCTGGTGCCGCGGAACCAATATCCCCCTACTTCTGAGCCTCGCGAGCTATTTTAGGGGCCCTTTCTCCATTTGTTTCAAGCATCCCGAATCTGCGGTCTAATGCCCCTACGCGGCGTGAGGGCTTGTCGGCCGCCCTCTCCCAAATCACTCCGCCCACTTCCCGCCCCGCGTTGGGAAGAGGTCTGAAAAAAGGGGAGCACATTAAAAAGAACAAAAAAGTGAGCGAAGAGAAAGAAGGGAGGATCCTCTGGGATGCGGTGGTTTGAGTGAGTTCGAGATGGGTTAGGGTAAATCTACAAGTAGCCGGGTAGTAAAGGAGCCAATGGTTCTTGAATGGTGTTGACGAGGGTTTTTCGGCAGTTTTTCCACGTCCGGATTTCCTTCTCGCCTGGACGCGCTGTAGTAACGCGAATACACCTTTGAAAGTAGATTAGGTAAAGATGGGCAAAGTTCAATTGCCTCCTCTCCAACCCTTCGGACGGAAGTGAGCCTCCTAGAAAAAGATTTGAAGAGAAAGCAAGCTCGCGAAGACGAATGCAGCTTTGCCAACATTGAACCATCCATGGATCTATTGCCTTCACACACATCCGTCCCCTCCATCTTTCTCGTCCCCACCGCGCGCGCATGCAGTTCATCACCGTTCCGCGTCTCTAGCTTCCTTCCACAGAGATTATCAGCGAGGTCTTCGACCCTAGAATAGTCCGGGGTGCATAAAACGCAAATGAGCGGCTCCAGACTTGGGGAGGGACTAAAAGGTCCACCCCCTTCGGTTCCGATCCCCATCTACGCTTTCCGAGCAAGTCAAGGACTGGGAATCTCTTGACTCCCCTCTTCCCATGTCACCTGCCTCTCCCGCAAACTGGCACAGTTCAATTAGGCATGTACGATATATTACGTTGGTCAGTCTTGACAAATTGGCGGCGAATCTTGTTCCCATTGAGATGCCGTCCTTTAGCCTGATTAACTACCCTCCCCCACCTGACATGCCAGGAAAGAGAAGGAAGAGTAGGAAGAGCAAGTGGAAGAGGAGTGTGCAGGAGGATTGTCAGTCAAGCTTTCGGATTATCTATAAAGCCTGGTAACGAGTGTGCAGAGGGAGAGCTTGTTCCCCTCCCCCATCCACCCGGGAGATGATCGGAGCTCGTCCAAGAGGTTCAATGGGACTGTAAGTCTTGGTCCCCGCGCCCTCTCTCGGTGGGGATGCACCCGATCATGAGTCTGGGAGGAGTTCCCGCCGTTCACCGCGTGACGGCTTACATGTTCTTTTGATGATGCTACCATGGTCGGCAAGGCAAGGGGGTCCACAAAAAAGGAAAAGAGGCCATTCGAGGTTGGCAGTGGTTCGAGAGAGGAAGAATAAAAAAAAGAAGGGGAAGAGCGAGATGAGGAGGAGGCTAGTGGCACCGACATTTATTTATATTCGCCGCGCTTCCCTCTTTTCTCCCCTGTTGCTGCTAGCCGTCCGCGTTGTCATCTTCTGGATTGGGACTTACAAGTGGCATGCATACTCTCTAGCCTAAGATCTTTCTTTTCTCCCAAAGCTCCAAGAACGGTGCATGTGCTTATTTCGGTTCGACTTGGAGCGATCCCTGGTAAAACCGGCCACCCGCAAAGGACAAAGCAGGCAATAAGACGAATAGCGGCTTCGCGGGAGAATCCCCCGCCACCTCCCATCTATTTCCGTCGACAGAAGAAAAGGAGAGAAACAAAAGAGGGAACGCCCAGAAGCCCAAATCTCTTTTTCTAGTTTTTGATTCGCTTTCCAGAAAAAGACGTGGTTGTGCCCTGGCACACTCTCAGCTTCACGCGTAACCTCCTCGAGGGACTCCCCGGCCTCATCAGAGCTGAAAGAAAAGGTTGTGTCTTCTCCTCGTCTTTACACACACAGCGCACGCGCACCTGCAATCTTTCCCTCATACTCGCATTGCTTCGAGAAGCCCAGCAGAACAAGCTTCCTTGCATATCGAGAAACAAGGCCACACACATCACCACCATTTCGCCCATCGGACCCCTCGACCTCTTTTCTTCTTTCTTCACCTTTTTCTCCTCTTTCTTCTTCCCCCTTCCAACCAAACCCTATACACAAAAATGGTGAACACGCAGTCCCTCCTCCTACTGGGGCCCTCGCCAGCTCCGTAGCCGCGCAAGGCGTCGTCGATGGCTTCTGGGAAACCTGTACGCGGTGGCAGCTCGGCTTCGAAAACGAGACGTTATACCGGCACTTCATGGTCGCCGAGTGCCTCGACGACGACAACAAGCTCCGCACCTCCTTCATCTCCCTCAACGACTGCTTGTCGAACCAAGAAGGCGATCTCACCGCGAAGCAAGAGTAAGTCTCAGAGGGCCGGGGGTGTTTTTGCCGTGTGCCATGCGGCTCCGCGCCGGTTTTACCTTTCAACGTTTTAGGTTCCGCGTAACTAACTTGTCGATTACTTCCACCATCTTTACAGCGGCGGCTTTCAACCAACGTGCCAGACCTGCACGACCAGGAGTTCCTTCTTGACCTGCCAGTGCAAGCCAACGTGGGGCGGCCCCAGGACAACAACCATCAACTTGAGTAAGCACTACCAGCGTCACCTAAAAAAACAAGCGGAAACGCGCTTCAAAAAAGTTCCCAGGCGTCACTAACAGATATTCGCGCTAGATGAGGTGATCGAAAACGTGGATGGGATCCTCTCCTGCTTCGGATACTTGGGTAAGGTTGGCCGTTGCTCTCCTGGATCATGCAACCTCGCTAATCTTCTTTTTTTTCGTGTCCTGTCTTATAGGCGTCGAAATAGACTCCTTTGACGCGAGTCCCGCATAGATCGTCCATCTGCACAGCTCGTGGCACAGAATCTACCATGCGCCCTCAAGCTGAAGACAACAACAGCTCCGGCCCTAGGTCCCCCTTCGCGAGAGGAGAGGGGCGAACACCTGCATTCATTACAAGCAGACGATGCATTCTTGCCTCTGTTTAACCCATTCTCACCCACCACATTTTGCATCTACCGGCATGACTGTGCACAAGGGACATGGACTTGTCCCTGGGGGAGCAATTCTTCTTCCCTTTTCCATGCCCTCTGCCCACTCGTTTTAAGTCCACCTCTTCTCTTATTCTGCCTTTCCACTCTTGATCACCATCCCGATACCATGTGACAAAAGAAGGAAAGGGAACAAGAGGGCTCATCTATCGCATATACCTAGCACAGTTTGCTCCACGCAGAGTGCTTTCGCGTTTTTACTCTCACATGTACATTTTGAAGCTACTCCCTCTGTACACCTTTCGTTGGAATACACATGAGCAGCATATCTCTTACTTATATATATATCCATATACACATGGTCTCTCCATACATCACGACGCTTCCCCTAGTGCTAGTCAATCATCGCAGTCTTATCACCTGCCTAGTATTTATGTAAAGAAGGGAAAGGAAGCAAGGCATAGAGGCCTTAGCATGGCATATATCCCGTCCCAACTTCACAAAGGAGATCAAAGCAAGGCTCAGGGCTTCGCGATTCCATCAGCGGCCAAGGATACCGAAACCGGCCCACCTAGCTTTTCTCTCTTCAAGGATTCACGTCTTACATGTAGCAGTCTTAACCATCTGTCTTGGCATACTCTTAATTCTCAAGCTGGAGGGAGGAGGACATCCATTTTCCTCGTCCCTTCCTTTTATTCTGGTGCTTTTTTTTTCTGGTGCTTTGTATGTTTCCCCAATATGTACACCTGGCTACCACCATAACTCCATGCTAGAACCATCCCGAAAATCCAATAAGAAGAGTCGAGGCGTACAGAGACCGGCCGGAACTGTGCCGGATTCTCCGCGTTTTGCTCACCTCCCCAGCATTATATACAAAAAGAAAAAAAGGGCGGTGGCTGCCGGTATCCACTCGCCGAATAGAGACCGCCACACAGAAGGCCACATGCAAACCTGGAAGAAATTCGGCGGCCGCAGAAAAGGGCACGCCCTCCTGTGACGCCTCGTCCCAGCTCCATTTTGAGGGAGTTTCGGTCTTTGAGGGACGCCAAGGGGCTCCAGGCCATCTTCGCAAGGCCAATCCTCTCGCGTCCCGTTTTCCATTCCATGCGGCCCGCTGGGGCAGGTCGCACCAAGCCCCAACTCCATGTATCGCGCCCATTACATATGGCCTTTGGTATTGGGCGGAGGCAGCCCCGCGCTATATCCTCCACCAAACGTGTGCGGGAGGCACGGACAGAGGTCGCTGATAAGTTCAGCCCCTCTCAGTCCACCAAGGACCTCCTTCTGAATAATATCTCCGCACCAGCATCCGGAGCCTTACTCATGACCACCACCATGGACTTTGGCCTCGATTGCCCCTCCTTTAGCTTCACGTCGTAGTTGAGTAAAAGTAGGCGAGCGCCATCTTGACCTCGTTGCCCGCGAAGAAACGTCCAGGGCACGCGTGCTTTCCGGCGCCGAAGTCTAAGTTGACATCGGAAATGGAGGTGAACTGCCACCGGTTGGCGTTTTCTTCCGACTGCTGACGCAGGTTATAGAATCGAAGTGCGTCAAACGTCTCGGGATCGGAGAAGTAGCGCTCGTCGCGCGAGAAACCCGCTTGAGGGGCAAGGAGCTTCGTGCCCGCAGGAAGGTGGGTCCCGTCCGAGAGATCGATAGGCTTGATAACTTTGCGGATGAAGGAAGCTAAAAGGTTGGTTGCACATGTTAGTCTTTGAGGCAACAGGGGTCCATGTATGTCTACAACTGTTTAAGGAGGGGGAGGGTGCGCCATGTGGCAGTAGCCAGTGGCTGAGAGGTGATGCATACTGATATTGCCGGACACCCGCTGAACCTCCTTCATGAAGCTATCCATCTTCTTCAACTTGGCCATGCTATCCTTCCTCGACCAGCCTTTCTCCACTTCGAGAATTTGATAAGCCTCCTCTCTCAACATTTCTTGAACTTCGGGATGTGCCGCCAAATCGTACATGCAATCGGTCAGCAAGTTGTTCGTCGTATGAATAGACGCTGCCGACAAGAGGAGCTGAAGTTGAGTCTGCGCGGCGATATCCGCCTTCTCCTTATCCGGGAGGGCTTCGAGAATCCATTGTATCAAGTCATCGGGTGCCTTTTCGTATCCCGGCATTTCCATATCTCGTAGTCTCTCCTGGATAACGGGCTCAAGAAGCTCCTGCGCCATGTTGAGGTCGCGCTTGAGGGCGCGGAGCTCTGAGACGAGAAACTGGCCAAATGGGCGCAGCCACTCTGGGAAAAGCTGGAGTTTGACAACGGCGAGAAAGATATGGACAGCGTAATTGGTCGAGACGTCCATCCACCGTTCCTGGCGGTTGATGGAGGGGCCGACGAAAGCACGGCCGCTCATCCGGGCAACAGCGCGCAGCGCAAAGGGCTGAAATTTGAATGGGGTCCAATCTACGGGAACTTGATTAGCTGACTTGCAGAAAAACTGAGTGTTGGATGACGATGCGTGGGGGTAGACAATGGAAGGATGGAAAGTTATTACCTTTGCACTCGGGAAACTCAGTAGCAACAATAGCCTCGAGTTCATCCTTGAGCTGAGGCACAAGCCTAGCCAGGTTCTGGGAAAGATTTTTACGGATTACCATGGAGAGCATGTCACCGTTGTGGCCGGCGCTGAACTTGGTGTATTTGGTTTGCAGGGCCTCCACTTCTGTTAGCTGGGGACCAAACTTTCCAAGAACAAAGCACCAGACATACCTCGCTCACTGCCTCCGTCGCGCTCAGGACATCTTCCGGCAGTCCTCTCAGCTCGCCAATGAGCTTCGCAGGAATGAGAACCTGGATGCCTTCGGTCGCCTTAATCTGATATACTCGATCCTGGAACTGTAGCTCGAAGTTAGCAACTGTCGTCCGCGACTGGAAAGTTCCGCACGGGCCCGTGCTGTATATTAACCGGACCCATTCGATCTGGAAGAGGGCAAAGGGACTGGGGGAAAGCTTCAGGACTGCCATTACCTTTCGATAACTATCAATGATCAAGTTTTCTGCATCCAGGGTCCATTTTATCCTCGACGCCTTGTAAAATGGTGCATCCACCGTGAAACAGGCGGTTTTTTGCTTCAAGATCCAGGCAAGCAGCAGTCCTGCGCCAATCACAAGATAATACGTGATATTCTTGCCACCAATCACCACCCATGGCAGCTGAAGATCTATTGCCGTCTCCATATTGCACTGAATGTGGGAGATGTGGACAGAGGAAAAGGATCGAGGACCGATTCCCTTCCTCTAGGTTGAGTTGGATTGGATGAATGAGGTGGTAGATGGTGGTGCACCGGTCCGTTATGCAAGAGCTGTCGTAGGCCTAGGTGTTATGTCATTGAGTCGATAAAGAAGATAAGAGGTGGAGGAATTTGGCGGATGAAGGGTGACGGCGCGACGCTTGGATTGGTGAGCAAGGAGTGCAAGTTGTCTAATCTATTCGATCGATCATCGAGATTCAGTTTTTGCGTCTATCGAAGGCGAAAGAAATTCAAATGCGCTGTGTTGGACGTGAAATCGATTCTTCGTCGTGATGCTAATGCAAACGTCTAATGCTGGAGTCGAAATGTAAGTTGCGCTTGATGCTGTGTTGCGAGGGTCGCTGGGACGTCGCGAATGACAAGAGATAAGATAGATACGATACGCAAGAAGGAAGGATTCTTTGGATGAGATGGAAGACGAAAGAGAATGCAAGGGAATGAGATAGTCTAGAACTTCAGACTAGCTGAGTCTAGAACGGGAGGGTGGGACGAGAGGAAAGAGCACAGCAATGGTGCAGATGCGAGAGGATTCAAGCTTCCCAGGCCAGCATCGTCGGTACGGGATCGACAAAAACTAGCGGCAGCAGTTGTCCAAAACAGCGGGAAAATCGGAAGAAGGCAGAAGCCGCGAAAGGGAAAAAAGGAAGAAGACGAAAAAAGGGACGTAAGCTGCCGAAGAGAGAGAGAGAGACAAACAAAAGGTCCCGTCAAGCTCCAACACGATATTAGGTAAAAGAAAATGGATGCCAGCCTGGAGAGAGATGTAGAGGAAGCTTAACACGACTGGTATTGAGATGGTCTAGACAAAGTAGGCCTCGACAAACAAGAGCGAGGATCTTGACTGAATGCAACGGCGCTTGCTCGATGCTCGCGAAGGGGGGTCTAAGGTCTGGGAGTTGAAGTCCCGTTGCCGGGAGACACTTGTTCCTGATTCGCCTACTCCTTGTTTCTTCTTCTCGTCCCCCTTTTATTTTCTCCAATAAGCGAAGGGATAAAGAAAGCCTTGTCTACGGGAGCGAAAGCTTGGTGCCATTTTGGGCGAGGCAGACTGCGATTGAAGGGTGCACAGGAAGCTCATCGGGTCGCGGGGGTCGTGATCTGCACCTGGCAAAAGGCCAGTTCGGTGTCGCGCTTGGCGCTCATCCTACCGATCTGAAACCCGTTCGGTGCCAAGGAGGGTGTCGGAGGGTGCCACCTCCGGGGTTGTGACCTTGCTCGGCGTCTGTGCTGTGCGTCAGGGAATAAACAAGGGACGCTTCGGCGCCGGGGTCCGCTGCCGCTGCTCTGCTGAGTAAGTCGAGAAATATTAGTAGGGGGCAAACAAAGGAGGCCTTTGGCATTCAATGCGGAAGATGGCAAATCCAAGCTCCTTCATTCATAATACCCGTGCTCCCCCTCAATCCCCTTTGCGCACATTTCTCTTGTTTCGAAATAGAAAAGGCTTCTTCGAGAACAACTCCGCGGACTTCTGTCGCAATGCATGGGTGCTGCCCGCGTCGGGGAGGGAGAGGATAAGGGAGAGGGAGAGGGAGAGGTTTGAATGATTTCCAAACGCGGGGAGAGCTCATACCCAAACGAAGAGCAAGAGCAACCGGCCACGAATCCAGTCCTTCCAAGGAGACTTGGGCCAACGTCAATTAACCCATGCATCTCCATTATCCTTCATCTGAACCTCCCTCTCCCCAAGCTCTGATGATGAGGACTATGGCGTCGCAAAAGGGGTATTTCTTTTTCTTTCCTCGCCAAGCAAGCAGTCCTTGATGCACCCACAACGGAGAACCATGAGGTAAACCATCACCACGTCCCTCCACAGTGGATGGTGTGGCTCAACGCGCGACCAACACGGACACGAGATCTGTAACACGACTAGGCCTTGTTGATCCCAGTCCAGCAGTAGGGAGAAGCCTTCCCCAAGGCCTCTTGCTATTTAAGATATTATCCGGGACCTGGCATTGGACAAAAATGAGCCCCTCGTGCGTTTTAGGAGGGAACGCTTCAGAAATTTAAGTTTGGGCTGAAGATCGACGGTTTGGCACACAAGCTTCTCCTCCTTATTTTCCGACACTTGGCCCACCCCTTTTCATCCTTTCGCTCCCCTTTTCACTACTACACTTGCTCTCAGGAGCAAATGTGCCAGGGTTCCTCCACGTCTGTGCACAAAGAAACCCAGCGCACCTTGCCCTTTATTACTTGCTCCTCGTTCTTGCAATGAATTCCCTCTGTTTCGATATATGTTTGACATCTTTCCATATCCTTTTATGGAAGTTCGCCCCCTTCTTCTTGCTCCGCCCTTCATCTCTTCTTTGAGATTTCTTCAACATGCTACTCCCGAGTCTGAGGTCTATCCGAATTGAGATTCAGAGATGCGATGAAAAAGTTCAGCCTAGCATACATTGAAAGTAGCACATGGACAATCCGCTTAGAATATAGCGTTGCAGCTGCAGTCCAGCCAGACCACATGAAGATCTCCAGCAGGCGATGAAAAGTATGAGATTGATACCGGGGCGGTTCGCTCCAGCTTCTCGCCCAGAAAATCTGGTGTAGGCGGGCCTCATGGGCCGAACTGCATTGAGAGAATGCCAGGCCTGGACCCAAAGAGGATGCTATACTTTTTACCTTTGCGTTCGAGTTCATAATGATCTCTACCGAGCTACCGTCATCTCTTAAGCCCAGTAGGCAATCGACAGCTCTGGCTATGGCTATCGAACTGTATTCCTCTCGTTCCCTGGGCGTGTTCATCCGAGCATGGACATTGATCGTACAAGTATTAGCATCCGCAATCACCCTCACGCAGAAGAACCCGGAGTCATCCAAGGTTCGCGATTGAGACCTTGACAGCTACCAACCGGTCGTTGTACATGTCCGGTTCGTATTCGTTGACCCATTGACAAGAAGAGCGACCGGATTGAGGACGGTGAAAGGGACGTGGTGGCCTTTTCGGTTCCTCCACGTTTCCCTCTCCTATCTATTCATTCCATGGCTTGTCTCCTCCGGGGACACGTACGGGCCGCCCGCAAATTGGACGCGGCTGGGACCAGCCTACGAAAAAAAAAAATGTTGGTCGCCGAGACACCTCGACGTCCGAAAGCGGCGAGCACTGCTCACGGCCCACCAAGTCCAATGATCAAATTTGCATGTGTGGGCTTCCTCGTCACCCTGGTCTCGGCACATGGGATTATTCGGTTATTCGTCCTCGGATGAACTCGCCCCAAAGACATCCCTACTGCGTTGTTGGGCGGGCAAGGGCCCGGGATCCAGCCTGCTTGCCTGCGTAGCAATTACAACAGCCTCATCCGGCCCGTGGAGCCACGGATTTACACCGAGTCAAGGGGGGCACGCCAGTATCTGATTCGTTGCTACATCCTTGATCGCAACACAGCGCCTTCAATGAGCCCGAGCCGTTCCGGTGGGTACGATTGTCGTGTTGCTTGGCTGATTCTTTCTAGAGCCCTATCGAGGTAGGTCTGTTGGGAAAAGGGGCAGGGTAGATAACTTGCTCTTCTGCAGTCGAAAGACACGGCTCCCGCCCGCCCTTGGTTCAACCAATGTGGGTGTGATGCTGCGTCACATCTGCGAGGATCGAATGAAGACGTTGCCGTCAGCTTTCGGATGCAAGCCTTGACGGGGCCAAGCTACACACCGTACTCAACATTGATGATATCAAAGGACTGCATAGAGGTAAAACGGCTTGCTAGTCAGTAGCTGCCGAGATGAGTGGACACTGTACAGACATATACCTCTCTGCGAACGGAGGAAGAGGAGGTTTTTCAGAAATGACTTGGCATGAACGCCCTGGCTTGGCGTCTGCATATGATTCCTTCCTTTCTTCCTGGCCGGCGAGCCCCCGGCAGGTCGACGAAGGTGAGCCTTTCCCTTCAGCCGCAAGAGAGCTCGGGAGAGAGGCGGAGGCAAAGGCAGAGAGAGGGGTGTGTGGCCATGCCTCTCTTTGCCCCCTTTTCCTTTGCTGCGGCTTCAAAGGATGCTATACGTTATCTACGAATAGTTGTTTCTTTCGAACAACTTATTCTCAAAGAACTCACAAGGGCTGGCCATACCCACAGCAGGCTAAGTGGAGAAGTGCACAGGAGTGCAAATAAAAGAAGCAGTGGCCGTATTATACCTCCTGGCTCTTGCCAATCAATCCGTGACACGAAGACACCACCGTCGAGGCACAGGATTCAAAAGTCGCGCTTTGCCATTTACCGAAAGGCAAGGGCAAGGCCAACTAGGGAGAATGAACGAAAGACTAATAAGACATATAGCAAAGAAGACGGAGCTGAATACCGAGGTATAGCAAAGAGCACTGGTTATAGCTGAAATGGGCGGTATCCTCGCCGCCCGAGTTGTCTTTCCTATATGCGCGTTTCCGCATACCGTTTTGGGCACCAGTTTTGCGACAGGAGGGGGAGGTCGACCATGAACGACGCCGAGAGTAAAAGCCTCCCGGAAGGACAATGGTTCGCTCGTCCCTGCGCGGGGTGCAGGATCTGCTTAGAAATGCGTCGCGGGGACCCTCTATGATTCATCTCTCTCCGATGAGGGAAAGAGGAGAGAAGGGGAGAAGAAGAAAGAGTTAAGAAGGAAAGGGGCAAAAAATGCGTCTAATACTAGTGAACCCCTCTTGGACGCGTGGGGAAGAAGATCTCGCGATTTGAACTAGAAAGCTCGAAATACTAGCTCGAGATGTCGCAAGGAAAAGCGTCTGTCTTTGTTTTCCCAGAAAGTTGGGTACGGTAGAGCCTAATGCATCACGGGATCGGCCTAGTCATGGCAAGCGTGAGGGGGTGAAAAAGGGGAGCGCTATTTGACCACTTACATGGCCAGTCCTTTCCCCCTTTGCCCCCTGGCCCCCGAAGAACGGTAGGCCCAACTAGGAAAGCGAAAAGAAGCAGGTTGGCCATTATTATCACTATTACAATCTGGTGA